TTTCTAAAGACGAGAAAAAAATAACTCCAGTTTTCAGGTTTACTCGGAACCTTCAATATTAGTGTTCTTATACTTTTAATAAGGTGATCTAAGGAGTTGGAACTTTGTCCTTTAGTTTCGTTTTGATCGTTATAAACGCTTTTGGTTTCAGCTCGCAGTCGAGCAATTTCCAGTTTTCTTTTAGATCTTTCCAATTTAACTTGTTTTAACTGTAATACTTTAACTTCTTCAGATTTACGATGCTCTACTATGGAATTTCCCAACTCTATTACCGAATTTGGATCGGATTTAAAAGCTTCACTACTTTTAATCTCTAAATTTAAATCTGTAACGGTTATCTTTTCATTAATTCTATATTCATTTCTAAAGTCAATAACCTTAAATCTTCTTTAAGTGCACCTTTTATCAACATTTACTCTTAATGAAATAACACAAGATAATAAGTAATTCTTCTCAATTACTTAAACACAGTAACACAGTATATATAAATACTAGAAATTTTTTTAAAACTCTTACACAGTATCTCAAAATAATAAAATGGCACTTTATTCTTAAATCGAAACTGCTGACTTACTCGTTACTTGTAAATAACTCATAATCCATAGATCTCTGGCCCAGGACGGACCACGATGTTTTGCACAGGCACTACACTATAATTTAATAAACTCAGGAACAATGGACTGTATTATATCTCACTTTTATTCTCATTAATTTACATCGTTCATGGCCACTCGAAGCCACCAATTCTCTCCCACGTTCTTAGCTCACAATCTCATGTCACAAACTCCAAGAGCTCAAGGCGCATGCATAGACGCTAGTAATGAAGTGCGCACGCAGACGCAACAAAAGCAATAAAATATATCAAAGAACATTGCAGACATAATATAACTATAAAATCCATCAGCCTTTCCACACTCTGTGGCCAACCTTTTATCTAAAAAGGCGTCTTATATCAATAGCCGTATCAAAATGACAAGACAAATGGAACAACAGTGAAATGGGTAAAAGAACACATCAACACTTTGCCAAGGTAAATCCACAATGACTAATTGCAAAGCCACAATTAGTGCATTTTGTTTCAGGCCACGGACCTTTCCACGATTATTTCAAAAGGTTTCGTATTTCAAGCACAAGTACCTATATTTGTGGCCAGCTGGGAACACCTGAACATTACATTACTATCTGCCCACTCACTAGAGATTTTCATATTAAAATGCCAACAACAAATGTTCAAGCTTTTAGTAAATTCTTAATAAGACAAAAATACATAGTGCAAAAAATCACAAAAATAATTAGCATCCTAACAAAATTGGGCACAAATTGATGTCAAGTAATATAATTTCATATAACAAGTTATAAGAAAGATGTAATAATATAATAAAGGAATAAAGCAATAAATGCAATCTATAATAAAGCAAATAACATCAGTGTTTATGATTTGAAAAAGTGATTAATTTCTAGCAAAAAAAATATATATATTATATATAAATTGTACATGTATTCAAATTATGAAAAAAAAATAAATAAATACTGACTTTTCGTAATTATGAAGACGTGACACATTGATAGTTAAATTGTCTTAGAGATGTTATAAACTTGAAATTCAAGTTACAAGAAAGAATACCCATGTTGATTTGGTGTGACCAAAGAGACATAGGATTCAGCAACATACAAAAGGAAAAGACGAAAAACTTTGAAAAAGTACTATTCTGGAAGACATTAACACGGCATATAAGGTATAAGATAAGGGATAAAATAGAAACCTTGGAACTGAGAAACTCATGAAAGAACTGCAGCAAAATGAAAGGAATTTTCCAAGAGGACTGAGACAATGTTCTAGTTTAAATGGTGAAAATAACAAGAGAAACTTCACGATAAAGAAATAATATATAGACTGCTCAAAAATAAAGAGAAATTCATTAGAAAAATTCTCCAACCAAAATTTATGTAATAAGTTATGTTAATAATGTGAATATAATTACAACAGAACCAAAAAGTCGGGAGCTGTGCTCTGTGTGTCATCGAGTGCCTCGCGAATTGTAGCATGAAGAGTCTTGAGAGTACTGGGAGTTCCGAGAACGACCAAGCAGACTCGGGAGCTGTAGTTGGTGCTTTGCAGGTAGCTGGCTCCAACGTGATAGCTTGATAACCTGAAGGCTGTGTCGCTGATCGTGTCAGCGTGTTTATAGTAGTTCATCGTCGATAGTAAATGTGTTTTGGAGCTGTCCTGACAATACTGGCCAATAAAGTGTGTTTTCGATATGTCATCAAGTGTCGTCATTATTCACTCCAATTTACGAACGTGAAGAAAGAAAATAACGTAACAACTGGTGTCAGAAGAGAAAAACGCAACAATATGTACCACATTTTTTATTTTAGAATATCATTCTTTGATTGTTGACTTTTAAAAAACAATGAATAATGGAGTCTGTTCGTCTTTCGTTCGTACTGTACATAAGCTAATAGATCCAGGGCTACAAAATTTGGTGCATAGGTGCATAGGTGCATCTAGACAAGAGCCAGTGCACCACAAATCGATTTTTTTCAAAATTCGAATCGGATTTTTTTAAAAATTTTATCTATTCAATTTTATGACATCATTTTGAATAGTTTCATTCTTTTAGAAATGTGGCTTTGGCAACAGTTTTTCATTCAATTGTATATTGGGCTGCTGACTGTTGAAAATCAGCATTGTTCCCACTTAGAAAAGTGAGGGCGATCATTCTCTGCAGTTTTTAAATTTAATATTTCTCTTGGATACTGGATGTTTATTGAGAGAAAGCAATGGGAAGTTGGTTAATTAATTTATTAGGATGATTAATATTTGTATTAAGGGATATTGCTTATTTTATTGTAATTTTGTTATATGTAATACATTTTTAATAAAAAAAAAATTTTAGTCCAAAGGGGCTTTGTCCCTAAAGGACTATTGTTTTCGTTTTGCATTGGTTCACTATAATTGTCCGTTTCACTTTTCAAACTGTTGACACCAAATGTTAGAGTCCTGCATTCTATTTGAAGAAATTAAATAATGAAAAATCTGCATAACTGTATGTATATTTCTTGCATTGTGATAAAACAACGGTACAAGTCATCAGATTTTGAATGATGTAATCCTACTGCGAATATGGGCATGTGGAAGCCCAAATTTGGAATTTGTTTTATTATTGGTTTTATATTTTGTAAAACTTTAAGGAATTTTTGGTTAACAAACTGAAGGATTTCAACGCGAACAGTCGCAATGTTGTACAGAAAAAACATCTCCGGCATGCGAGACTGTATCGGAAATTCTAAATATGTTCTATATTTACGACTATTTTGCGACATTGCTGTTGAACTGAATTTTATGGTTTAAGTGGGAAGAACGTGATATTTAATAAAGGTAACAGACAAAATGTTAAAAAAACGCCCATTTGGACATAATTTTTGTTTTGTTTTGATGAAATTGTTCTGCAGAGTAAAATTCTGCACAATCTTTAAATTTAATGTTTTGTTTTCTGAAGGGAAAACATTTAATTTTTTCAGTACATTTAAAGGCCAGACGAAGGCTTGCCATGTAGCTGCTAGTATGTAATAATTTAGAAGTAGTTGGCATGAGATATGTATGAGGGTGTTGTTCATTGATGTAATATTTCGTCATTTTCATTGACAAAAATTTTTTAAGCAAACAGATAATTTTTGCCATAAGCATGCCTATTCTTGGCAAACTGCAGTAAGTGGATCCTTTTGGATTTTAAAATGTATCTGAAGAAAGATCAAATAGCTTACTGATGCATATTGCTTGGACTTTTGAGAGAGAGAATGTAGTGTGTCTAAATTGAAAGCAGTGCTCAGAAGATTTAGTCTGTTTAGCTTTATTTTGTTTGGTTAATATTGAGTTTTATTTTCTGAATGTGAATTCATTATTGCCTAAAGCGTTGTATAAGTATTTGCATCATTACCGTTACGCAAAAATCATTTGACATGAATTTGTTTGGAAATGATGTAGCTTAGAGTGATTTGATGTAACTAGTTACTGTTTTTAAGATATAAAGAGGAAATAACTAAATTAAAATAGTTAAAAGAACCATTGCAAATCAAAGTTAGAATTTTGATTTACATATGTAAGTAATAATTAATCTTACATAATGTATAAATATGCATTTTGATTTCAATATTCATAATTGTAAGGTCATGTGAAAATTCGAATATTGTCAGAGAACAGATTTATCTATTTATTGTAGAATAAATCGTGTTTAATATGTGTTAGAATTAAAGAATAATGTCTCTTTATTTTCAAAATGTTAAAAAAAGTGGTTGTGATAAGAAATATCTGAATTTTTTTTTTCTTTTGGGTTATTTTTATGTAAATGAATATTTTGTGCTAAAATTTTTCAAGAGCAGTAAAATTGCTGATTATTATCCCAAAAGAACTCTTAGTTTCGAAACAGGATTTTGCATTGTTTCACTTTTCTTTCAAGACTGTTACCATTTGTTGAAATGTAAGATATTTATCTGTCAAATAAAAGCAATAGATACAGTTCTTAAGAATATTTCTTTTGTTTTTTTTTTAGTCTGATTGATTTAAATAAAAGCACATTTAATTAAAAAACGTTAAATAGTTTTATAGAATTGGATATTTTTTCGCTTTTCAAATACACAGAAGATATAAAACGTTGCCATGTTAGCCTAAATTATCCTATAGATGGTTCTTTGTTCATAAAACACATTAAAATTTAAAAAGAGCCCCTTTGGGCAACAGTTTAAGTTTGAGCCTTTCAGACATTTTTTTTTCATTTTTTAATAAAGAAATTCTATATTATTTGCTTCAATTTAAATTATATGTATGTTATTTCAAGGTGATTATATGAAGTTATGCTTTTACTTATTTTGATATACTCTCTCTTTAATATGATTACATTTTCATTTTACATTTTGTTTCTATAGCTGATTTTTATTGCATATTTATTGTATGTAACGTATTTCAATGTAATCAGTATTTAATATTTTTATTTTTACAGTGACTAATTCTCATGTTATTGTAAATGGGAATAAAGAGAAATCTGATGATTCTATACCACCTCCAAAAGTCCAACTTTATACTGGAAAAATCTATGTTGAGTGGAAGCAAGTGTATAAAATTGGTGCTGGACTAAACAATTTAGGAAATACATGTTTTATGAACACTGTAATCCAGTGTTTAACATATTGTCCGCCTCTTGCAAATTATCTTCTTCTTGACAATGACCACCCATCAAAATGTAAGTCTTTTTAATTTGGTAAATATATATCCTAAATAACAATTATTCATTTATTGAGTTTAAAGTAGTGCATTTTTACTTTTAAACTTCTTATCTCTCTCACTCTAAATGGAGGCTGTGTTGTAGTATAAGAAGCTATATTGTTTAATGAACAAGAATACAAGTTATAGAACAATTTAGAGCTAATGTAGAATTGTAGAGTGATCATTTAAAACAAAAGATATTGCAGCCTAAAATAACCAAGAAATTTCTGTTATTGCAGCTTTAAAATAAACATTTCTCCTTAAATATAGATCCATTTAATTGTATTCCTTTTACACATTGTTATAAGAATCAGAAAAATAAAACTGCTTAACATTCTGATGCTTGTTTATCTTCTCACAAATTTATGGTTTGGTATTTTAGAGAAATGTGTCAGTAGTTCGATGTTTAATTTTCCTTAATCTGAGGTGTTTTCGATAAGTTTCAGTGTTTTGCCACAGCGCATCATTTCCCTCACACGCATACACATACACACACACACACACACAAATAATTCTACTCGACCATTGATGAAATTTAATTTGCATTTTTCATGTATCAAAAATGCAACTTAGGCATCTTATATTTGATTTATATATATAGCATTGTTCTAACATAGGTATTTTGACACAAAATTAGATTTTTTCTGAAATGGTGTAAGACTTTCACTGTGTAAATCTCAGTTACTGTAAAACATGACGAGTCTTAAGAACTAGATAGCGAATAATCGCTTAAGTTCAGGTGACAAGAAACAACAAGACAGAAGGGTAACTAACTAACCCTTTATTATTCCAATAAGATTCAATAAAACTCCACGTGGGAGTGTACAAAGCCAACACTTGGGCTTGAACTTAAGAGACTAAGAATTAAACTAAAACTAAGATTAACTAAAGAAATATAGCCGAAGCTATCAAGATTCAAATCGAGTTGGCCCCTTAACTTATTTGACTACGAAGCTTAGCAAGGGCTTGAGTATGGCCAAGCATAATAACATCTTTGAGAGAGAGAGGCCAAAAAGGCAGACGCATGTAAATCAGAAACTCTGATTCTCTCTCCCGCTGTAAGTAACTTCGTAGTTTAAATACCGCTCCTCCTCGGTAAATATTCAGCAAGATTCCAAAACTATGTTCTGGTCAGAAGTAGTAAGTTGAAGTTAAGAATTTGACAGGAAAGGAACTTTAACTTAAAATTCAACTGTTAATAAAATGAACATAATCTTTACAATGGCATATCAATTTTTTTTCTTCCATGTTTTGATTCTATGACTAAAAATTGTGCCTAAGTATTAAATTTTGTAAAATTTGATGATAATTTTTTAGAAACTACTCGTGCAATTTTTATGAAACTTAGCACTTACTATATTTTAAAGTGCTGTGCATAAATCTAGTGTATATTGAAAGTCGTGCTTTTGAGACGTGAAAAATGCAAGTTAAATTTCGTCAATTGGCTTAGTAGAACCAGGGTGATATAGAATTCTGCCCCCTTTTTTATACAAAGTGTACAATTATTCGAAAATGTCTTCTACCCTAAAATAGGGGGGGGCAGTCTAAGATGATACAAAATTTGTCTTACTATTATTTAGGTAAGGTAATATATATAAACAGTGAATTAAATTTTAGTGCCATAAGGTTCAGAGTAAGTAATGCATAATTTAATTGAAATAATCTATCGGTAATTGATGCACTCAAAATCACTTCTGAGTTTCATTTCATAATTCACTGAATCATTTTTTATAAAGGAGAAAATTCTTGATTGTTTTTATTAGCCCAAAGCAGCATAATCCCAGAATGGCTGTTAGTCTCGAAATAGCATTTTACATCAAATCACTTTCAAATTGCTGCCATCAAATATTATTACCCTGTACTTTATTTAAAGAAATTAAATAATGAAGAATCTGCACGAAAGTATATACGTTTCTTGTACTGCGAAAAAGCAACGAATGATACCTAGATCCATGAAACTTTGAATAATATAGTCCTCCATCTGAATATGGGCACCTGGAATCCCGAATTTCAAATTAATTTATTATATATTTCATATTTTGTAAACACTTTAGTGAACTTTTTATTAAAAAACTCGACAGTTTCAATGCGAACAATGGCAACACTGTGTAGAGTAGAATAAAACATTTTTATCTCCAATGCACGAGACTCTCTTTTTGGAAATTGTAAGTGCTGGTTTTAAATATTTTTAGCCGAAATGCTCTCAAAATATGTATGTTTGTGTAAATGAAAAAATGCCCCTTTGGGCATAATATAAAATCTGAAAGCTTCAGATTTGTTTCCTTGTGATTTCCTACGAGTATGTTCTTTATCATTTATTTTTCTTCATAATCCACTTAAGACAGATTTTGGTTAAATAGGGTTTAATTTTCTTTTCTATGAAATGCATGTATTAAGTAAAAGTATGTTCTTTTTTAGGGTGTCAATCTTTTGTGAAGAAGTAACTTTGATCATTATTTTTGAAATCTTACTTTTATTTATTTTCCCCCTTTATAAAGTTTTTGTTTTTTGTTTTTTGTTTAAGGTACTATCACGGGATTTTGTATGATGTGTTTGCTTCAGAAACATATGAAACGAGCTATTGGTAAATCTGGTGATGTTATAAAACCTGTTGATGTCTATCCAAGATTAAAATGTATGTATGTTAGAAAATCTCTTCCTTTAAAATTTGAAAACCTGAATGATTTAGACATATTAATTACAACTGTTTTGTCTTATTTTACAGCATGTATGTTTAATAGTATTTAAGATTCTGAAATAAAGTATTTTAATTTTTTAGTTACTGTGTATTTTCAATTTCAGTGATAGCAAAGCATTTTCAGTTTGGACAACAAGAAGATGCACATGAATTCCTCAGATATGTAATTGATCATTTATGGAGGTCATGTCTTCATCAAAACAATGGAATTAAGTAAGGGAGCTTAGTTGTTTAAATATCAACTTTAAAAGCTTAAATTGTGCATTATTTTTGAAATATTTAAATGATCTTTTTGTAAGTTTTATTATCTGTTCAAAGTACCTGTGGGAAGTTGCTGAGCACATGTATAGTGGTGCTAAACCTTGTGTGTTTAAACTACATTTTGAGTCATTCCCAAATTTTAATGTATGCAGTTTAGTGCCTAGAATTGCTTTTGTTAGTTTTATTATCATCTGTAATTCAGAATGTGGTTATTTTTTGTTATATTCACAGTCGTTGGTTTTGACCGCCAACTGTAACCTCCGATTTTAAATCAACTCGTTCCATGGCTACCATTTTATATCATGAATTATGTTATGATATTTAGTAGGTCACTTTTACCTTTTAGGGTGAAAGAAGTGACAGATATGTAATATTTTTTACCCGGCTCATATCAAAACTAGTTAGAATTGAATTCATTTTATTTATTGCTTCTTTGACAGTTGCAGTAGGAGTGCTGCTCAGCAAACGTGACTGTTAACGTTAGTGCCAAATTAACATGCAACACATGGTGATATCAGCACTTAAAGTTAACTAATATTTTTGGTATTAAATATTATCCATCTATTACCGCTAGGTATATTATTATTATTATTATTATATATATGTGTAATAATGAAATTTCCATAGTCAAGAATACACTTAAAATTCTAACTGTATGTTCTTCTCATTTTTAATGGCGACGTTCTCTTATTTGAAAGTACGTGGAATTAAATCCACAGCCCTGTAGTCAAGTTGTTTTGCCCGCCTTTTCTACACGTACAGTTTTAGAATGTTCTGGAAATATTTAAAGTAAACTGGATTGGCTGACGTTCTTGGAAGCTCCGCCTTTCCAGAGGCTATAAAAAGACTCGCAGCAGAATATCAGGGCTTTTCTTTAATGCAACGATGCAGTAAACTTCATACAAAAAGTTATTAGTAATTCTTTTTACTTCGGATATCTGATTTTGTAACTGCTATTTCTCCTGAATGGATTCTGTTTTTTAAACTTATCGTCTGATAATTTAAGCTACGACTACATCTATATTTCTTCAACGATCTATTTATTCTGGACGAAAGCTGATACATCACATATATATATATAATAGAATTCTGTAGTAGAATGTTGGTGGTTGTATCTGCAATGAACAGCTAGAATTTTGATGCCAGAGAATGCTGAAACGCTGATCCACAAGGAATAAGAAATTTGGCAGTCAAGGTATATTTAATTAAACTTTTATTTCAGTAAGCATGTTGTGGCCACAATCAAGTTGGCACATTAATTGTGCTTAATCCAAGTGGTTTATATTTTTGATAACTTTGCAGCAAGAAGGAAGTAGGAGACAGACAACAGTCCAGCTAGGCCAAAGCTTTGAAAGCAAGTGCATTATGTTCAGGGTGAAATCTTAATTTAAACTGAGTTAGTTTTGGTTCTCAGTACAGTTGATTGGACAGTTAATATTGCTGTAAAATTACTATTGGTTGTTTTAGTTTCATTAACATGATCAGAATTATGTAAGAGTAATGTGACATAGATTTTTTATGAAATGACGCAGTTCAAATAAAGGTTACTATTTTTAGAATAAAGAAGGGAATTAATTTTCTCTGCTAATTTAATCTTTTACATATTCTTTATTTTTCTTACATATATATATGTAAGATATAACAGAATATGATAGCTACTTTAAAAAGTAAATGGCAACCTCGGAATTAACATTCTAAATTTGGTGCTCTTCTTCTGAATTAAATGTAACAAATTCTGAAAAACATATAATAGGTTAATTAATTTATTAATTTTTATTATTTTTAAATATCTCTGGGGCAACGTTCAGTGAGGGGTGGCAGCAGGAGTTACATTATTGCTTCTCTCGTTAACAAGTACATTTTATTTATTACCATTGTTTATTAGCATAGCTTCCAACAATCATTGATTTTACAAAAGATTTAGTAATTTTATCTTTTTTGTCTAAATTTTGTTTTTTTTCCGTTTTAGGAGTTAATTTTTTTTTTTTCTGGGAATAATTCAAATCAAAGTTGTTTTGATAGTAATTTTGCACTTATGACATATTTAAGTAAAGGATAAAGGTAAATTGTTGCTATCATCTGATTAGGAAAAAAAGCTAATATGGTTTAAACATTCCCAACTTTCCTGTAGAACCCGCCAGTGGCTGAATTAATAAGGCTGTTGAATATTGGTAGTTTGTCCCAGTTCAACTGGTTAAACGTATATCACGGCATAACTTTGTTAAAATAATCATTAATAATAAATGTTTCATTTTACTGCATTAAAACTCATTCCAATACATTTGAGTTTTAACTGAAATCACTGAATATAAATACAGTCAAAAGTCGTTAATTCAGACACCCATAATCCGGAATGATCTATAATCCGGACCTCAAAGCTACAAACTTTCTGCTCATGCGTCACATTGACGCATGCACGTAAGATCTTTACGGCTGCGAATGTGCATGTGCGCATGTGCATAATACGTTTACGCATGCGCATTTAATGTATAACGGACGGTATAAGCTAAGCTAAAATTATCCAATTCAGTTAGTGTTGCAGATTGCGTTGTTCCTTAATCCTCGAATTGGATCCGGCTTATTATTTTTTGCAGACTGTTAGAGCAATTTTATAAAAGTAAGTTTGAACTTTCGATTATGAAATAGAATTTCCGATATATATTTACTAATATGTAAAGGATCTACAAAGCAAAAGTATGTTTCAAAGTCCATTAAACAAAAAGTGGAATTGCTGCAAAAAAAGGATTAATTCCTTTGTTTATCTAACCATTCTGAAATCTGTTTATCATTTCACGCTGCTCTGTGGCGAGGGGGGGGGGGGGACGCCGCGGCGCGCAATGAATTGGAAGTTGATCTGTCAGCACTACCCTTATGTTCAGGGCAGATGTTTTTATTTTATTTGGCTTATAATTCCTTACTAAATGTAGTATTTCATCTCGATGTACTTCGTCTTTGATATGATTTAAATCAAATTCCTCGTCATTTTAATTCGCTTCCGATAGTGAAGAAAGAGACACAGAGGTTATTGAAAACGAAAAAATTTCGATTGACAAATTAGTCGGTATTCTCGACACAGCAATTATAGGACTTCAACAGCGGAACTTTGTAACTGAAGAAGAAATTACGCCTGTTTATAGAATTAAAGAGAAAGTATTATCACATAAAACAAAACAACTTGCATTGAAAGAAATGTTTAATAAAGTAAATAAATATTAAGTTTTTTTTTGATATCCTTTAGATCATAATTATTTTTTATTTCATAAATTATGGTTTCATATTTTTAATTTTATAATTTCTGCATGCCATCTTACCAGATTTAAACTGATGATCTATAATCCGGAATCTCCAAAGTCCCGACGAGTCCAGATTAACGACAATTGACTGTAATTCATTTTCATCAACTAAAGCAGATCTCTTAAATTTTCAAGTATGACAAAAAAATTTCATTTCCAAGAAAGCTTTTTAAATAAAACGTGTATCATATTGTAGATATTAGAATATTTGAGATGCCTGCACCTTTACAAAAGCTGCTTTTGCAGGTTAGAAGTTAATTTTTGTCACATAAGCTCAACTTATGCCGGCAGTTTTATGATAGGGATCCACTATAAAATTGTCTCTTTTGATTGATTAGTTTCCCTCCAGTCCCCATGCCAACTTGAAACAATACATTTTTAAGTTCAGACTTTTTATTAATATAATTTTTTAAAATCAATTAAGTTAAATTTTAAGGAAACCTAGATAAATTTAAAATATGTGATTGATGAAGATTAAATGTATAAAAATATGTGATTAATGAAAATTAAATGCAAAGTTATACAATATATGTACTAATCAAAGAATTTGCTTTTGTTAGTTCTATGTGAATTTTATATACTTGTCTTTTAAAAGGCTTGTGAAATAATTTTGCTTAAATAATTTATATTGTAAGTTTTCTAAAATGTTGCAAAATTTATCAAATATCTTTAACCATAATAAATCATGAGACATAGCTACAACTTCTATTCTATATTTATATGGAATCTTTTTATATAAATTTTTCATTGGGAATTTCATTCTAAAATTATGCTTTACTCAAATAATTTAGTTTCATTATCATTTTTATGTTTTAAAGGCTAGATCCTGCTAGTAAAGAAACAACTGTCATAAATCAGATTTTTGGCGGTTATCATAGGAGTCAAGGTAAAAATCTTTTTATTTCTGAAAATTTTTACTTGCAACATCTTTTTACCAGTAAATACAAGCATTAACTCATGAGTCTATCAGTGTTATAAATGCTTGTGTAATGCCAATCTTTTTATCTAAACATTTCTTTGAAAATTTCTAGGGTGTTACAGTTTGACATCTCAAATGCAACCTTGGCTAGCATTCTGCCAAAACACATAGACTCATCCAAAAGGGGCATTATTACTTGCTGTGATGTGAAACTCTTCTCCAGAAAGAAAGAATTTATATGCTCAAGGGAAAGAAAGTTCCCATCCTTCCACCCTATTTTGAGAGTGATTTTTTGAATGGTGCATGCGTGTTTGCGGTCATGGTCGCAGATGAGACAGTCGAACTATACGAGGGGTATTCAGTTTTGAAGTTCAATAAGTTGCACATATTCTCCTGTGGAGAACTTGTGATAGCTTGAAGAACAAAATATGCAAAAAAAAAAAAAAAAAAAAAAAAAAAAGTGGCAAATGAAAGTGTAAATAATGCCAAAGCATTTAGGAAGCACAAGAGTTCACCAGTAATTTTAGCACATTATTAAAAACAAATCTCACTTTTTATATAATCCTGAAAGTGCACAAATACATACTATTTATCATTTGTACTATGTTCTTGTTTTCTAAACGATCTGTCAATTTCATTATTTTTTTTTGCTGTCATGGCTTAAAATGTCCCTCCCCTCCAATCAGTAAATCATCATTTTTATTCACTGTATTTACATTGTTAATTTTAAAACATTTTTTATAATGTTCTGATTTATGCTGATAGTTTCCATGGATTATACTTAGACCAGAACTAGATCATAGTCCACATATCCTTATTTCTGACTGTATATAGTAATTTTTCCTGCGCAAAAATATTAATGTGGATGATATATGGTTCAGTTTTTCCCTTTAACTGAAAACCAAGATGTAGATATTATGCAAGCATAGGTGTGTAATATCCCTCCATCTTCTGAACACAATAATTGACATCTCTTTATATCTTAAATATTTATTCAAGGTCACACACATGAAATCACTATAAATCTGCATCATGATTTACATCATAGAAGGGCTTTTCATTAAATTTCTAAGGGGTACTGATTTCAATTTCTCTTCCACTACTGTTCTGAGTCCATAAATCATGGTGGGTTTGTACTTAGAGCTTTTTTCAAGAAAATCTTTTCAAGGCATTTAACATTTTATAGGCATAAAGATGTATTAATTCTAGATGATAGGAATGAATATTTCATGACATTAGGCCAGCGGTTGGGTCGCGAAGCATATTTTTGGGTCGCGCTAAGTCAAAAAAAAACTTTTAATATACAAAATTAAGTAATACCAACACCTACTAGAAGAGTTTTTTTCTAATACAAGTTATTCTCTAAAACAATGCATTGGTTTTACCGCTCTTCGCGAATGGCCTTCTAGAAGTGACATCCAATTTCTGTCTTATAGCTTTCTTCTATGAGGTGTTGGTAATACTCACGCCATTGCTTTACGTGCGCGCAGACACAATAAGGTTGTAGGTAACATAGTCATTCTTCGGTAGTGACACCTTTTGGTAAAAATTAAAAGCGCTTTCAATCAGCTACTTTTACTTCGACTTTTAAGAAACCGGGGAATTTTCGTTGGTTGTAAACATGTAAGCAGATATTATCGATTTAACTCGTGTGAATAAAGAAGTAATAACGGAAAATTGTATTCTGTTAATTTCTGTTTGCATATTAATGATATTTACATAAAAAAGTTGCATTCCGCTGCAAGTTCTTTGTCAAAAACTCGTTTCTTTGTATTATGTTGTGAATAACAGTGGAATGTGTAATAATCATGAAACGTGAATACAAGCATTTTAGAAACAATTTTTGTCTGTTTATTAAAAGTGGAGTGATCAAGCTGCAGTGCGTATTGTAAAATTGTAATCACCCTAAAATGGCAAAACGTGAATACAAGGAAGCATTTTTAGAATTAGGGTTTACTTGCATTTATGATGGAGGAATGAACAAGCCGCAATGCGTCTTGTGCAGTGAAAAATACTAAGTAATGAATCGATGAAACTGAACAAACTTAAGAGACATTTTGATGCAAAACATAAAAATTTTTCCTTTGAGGGAAAAGATCGTACTTTTTCGTAAGAAAAGAAGCCGATTTAAAAAGACGGCGTTTAGATGCACCAAGTAGTAATAGTTTTCTAATTTCTACCAAACAAGCTACACTTGCTTCTTTTTATGTGGCTTGGCATATTGCAAGACAAAAGAAACCCCATAATATTGCTGAAAAACTTATAAAACCTGCTGCCATTGACATGGCACATATCATGTGCGGAGATGAAATTTCAAAGAAATTACAAAAGGTACCATTATCAAATGATACAATTCGTTTACGAATTAATGATATGTTGTTTGATATTAAGAATCAACTTATTTCTGCTATAAAAGTTGCTGGTTTATTTAGTATTCAACTGGATGAAACAACAGATTTAAGTAACGATGCTCAACTAATGGTTTACGTGCGGTATCCAGGGTTAACAGATATACAGGAGGATTTTTTATTTTGCAAATCAATGTCAACAAAAACTAGAGGTAAAGATATATTTCTCATTGTCAATTCGTTTTTTAAAGAAGAAGGATTAAATTGGAATCAGTGTTTCAGTATTTGCACCGACGGTGCAGCTGCCATGACAGCATCTCAAAAGGGTTTTTCGACAAGAGCAAAACAAATGAATTCACAAATTTTATCAGTTCATTGTTTTTTACATAGACAAAATCTTGCTTCAAAAAATTTATCGCCCGAATTAAGTATCGTTTTGAATGAAATTGTTACGGTAATCAATTTTATAAAATCAAGAGCTCTTAACTGTAGAATTTTCCGCGAACTGTGTTCAGAATTTGGTGCAGAATACGAACATTTATTATATTATTTTGAAGTTAGATGGCTGTCCCGGGGCAAAGTTGTTCAAAGAGTATTATCATTGCGAACAGAAGTCGAATTTTTTTTGAGAGAAAAGAAACACCCATTAGCATCTAAATTCTCTGAGTTGAAGTGGATTACTCAAGTTGCTTATTTGGCAGATATTTTGTTTGAAATAAATAATCTAAATACGTCTATGCAAGGACGTAATCATACTATTATTGAATTAACTGAAAAAATTACATGTTTTAAAAATAAACTCAAATTATGGAGAAATAAGGTTGAAGTAAAGAAACTTGCTTCATTTCCTACTCTTAATTTACTTGTTGGAGACAAGAATATTAATATCACAGATTTTGAAATACAGAAAATTATTATCAATCATTTAGAAAAACTAATAGCAGACTTTGATCGGTATTTTCCTGCAGACGATGTTTTTAAATATAATTGGGTTCGAATGCCATTTGATTTTGACGTAAGTGATTTGCATGAGGAATTTGTTAATATTAATCAATTTCAAGAACAATTAATAGAAATTCAAAGTGACCAAGCACTTCGATACAATTTTTACAAAAACACTCACTCTTTATGTGCTTTCTGGTTAAATCTAAAAACCGAAAAGCCAATAATTGTTAAAGAAGCCCTAAAAGTATTATTGCCCTTTTCAACAACATATATGTGTGAGGGGCTGGTTTTTCGGCTCTCTGTGTAATCAAAACAACCACCGGAACAAGTTAAATCCAGAAATAGATTTAAGGTGCTCCTTGACAATCATTCAACCCAGGTTTGCAGATCTTTCAAATGTATTCAAGCACAAGGTTCTCATTAAAAGCGTATAAAATGTTATTATAAGATTAAATTTCAATTATTTTTAAAAAGTTTTTAATTTATTTAGTTTGGTCAATAAAAATATTAAAAACACTTGATTATTTATTAAATTTTTCTTGGATCAAAAGTACTTTTGTTTAACTTCATTATTATAAAAAAAAATAAAAAATTTGTAAGTTAAATAAGTCATCATTGTAAGATTAAAGGTTTTTACAAATATGCTCTAAAATAAAGCAATGAAAAAATATTGACTTTTTTTGGGTCGCGACATAAACATTTTTCTCAAATTTGGGTCGCGGCTCAAAAAGGTTAAAAACCACTGCATTAGGCAACAGTGATGACACATATTATGAAGAGTTTGATTATAGCAATATTAGCATGGATGATATTACCCGACTGTCTTTGATGGAAATAAATAAAGCAATACATAAATGGAAAAAAATCTTCAAACCCTGATTTAATACCATTTGAATTTATTAAAAGTCCTAGACTAGGCAGTGTAATACACCCATTACTAGAATTTTGTATGGAGGAAGGGAGTAATACCAAAAGAATGGAAACTTAATACCATCTGTCATGTTCATAAAAAGAGAGATCTTGGAATGCTCAAATTATTGATGGAATAGTTTACTCTTCTCATTTTATAAACTGTTTTCTAGTATTCTTTGTAAGAAACGTAGTACTATGTATCTTGTTTATGAAAAGTGAGGTATCTTGGAAGGTTGAAATTATTAAGGTATTAGTTTACTCTGCACATTTTATAAACTGTTTTCTCATATTCCTTATAATAGATTAGTTGTCTATACAGATTGGTGAGTTATAAGTATGTCTATAATTGGTGAGTTATAAGTGTCTATAATTGGTGAGTTATAAGTGTCTGTAATTGGTGAGTTATCAATATGTCTTCCATAAAGGAGGGTTCACCGATGACCTGTATAAAACAAATAATAGAAAGTACCAGATAATTTGACATTGACATTCATCATTTATTCACAAATTTTAAAACTGCTAATGATTCAATTAATGGAAAAAGATGTATTGATTTTATTAGGGAATTTAACATCTCTGAAAATCTTGATAAACTTGTTGCCATTATCTTAACACAGATCAAACTATAATTCAGAATAATTTTCTGTTTTTTTTTTTTTTTTTTTTTTTTCTTTTTTTTTTTTTCTTTTTAACAAATTGCTTGTGATAGGTGATGTTTTTGCTTGTCTCCTTCTTAATTTAGCTCTTCAAAAAAAACCATGAATGGTTGAAAAATAAATTCTAGGGGAGGTAATTTCTGCAAATCAGTTGAAATCTTTGCATTTGTGGACAATATTGACGCCATTGTTAGAACTCTTGATGCATTCAAATGGGCATCGCTCTCATTGGACGTCAAAGCAGCTGAAATGCACCCTATCATCAACCAGACAAAAACTAAATATATTGCATGCACTAAGTCAAATTTAATCATTCTTTCTTAGGAATTGATAAATATAAATTTGAAGTCAATGTGTTTTTTATATATCTAATTAATATAGAGAATCATATCTCCTGAAATTCACAACAGAATGCTTGCTAACCAATGCTTTTGTTTAAACAAATATTTGAAATCAAACTTAATCAAAAGAACAACTAAACTGACTGTTTACGAATGTTTAATTAGACCTGTTTGTTTTATATGGAGCTGGAACCTGGACATTGACTGAAAAGGATAAAATACTTGCAGTCATTGAGAGAAAGATTTTGAGAACCATTCTTGGAGGTATTCAGATAGAGGGCATCTGGAGAAGAATGAGAAATCTACATGAATTGTGAACAGAAATCTGCACTATGGATATCCAGACATCATAAATTTTATCAGCACCCAAAGATTATAAGATGGGCTGTTGAGAATGCCTGAAAATAGAACTATAAAAAAAATATTCGCATGCCTGCCAGCTGGCGCTGGAAAAAGAGGGAGACTGAAACTCGGTAAGACTGTCTAGAGCAGGGGTCTCCAAACTTTCCAGCCTTAAGGCCATACTTATTACTCCAGTAAGTTCCGAGGGCCAAAACCATATTATCATTGTTGCCGGTGGTAAAAAGTTAAATAGTCCACTGATGAAAAAAAAGTCCGAAAAAGTATGCAACGTTTAAAAAAGGCTGCAAATCGGACTAAAGTCCGCAAAACGGCAACACTGCATATTATTAATTTTCCTGTCATTATCTGTAATTTCTAGATTAGTCATAGAGTACGAGCCATGAGGAGTAACGTGACACGACATCTGGTGAACACAAGCGGAAATAGGTAGTACCTTCTATCGCTAACAGATGGCGCTAATAGCACGTACAGAAGTCAGTTCCTATGACACTGTTGTGAAATAAAATAGTGCGTACCTCCTTAAAACGTGTTTGTGCGTGTTTAAGTTTAAGACATCTTTGTAACAGTATTTTGATTTGAATTGTTGCTTTTGTGTGTGATTTAGTAGTATGGAAAAGAAGCGAAAAATTGATAGTGAATGCAGAAAATTCAAAGATCAGTGGAACATTCAGTATTTCGTAATTGAGTCCAGTAACAAGGAGCTATGTTTGGTTTTCAATGAAAGCATAGCCGTTCTCAAAGAATATAACATTAAACGTCATTATGAAACAAAACATTTTCAAAATTACTCAAAATATACAGGAAGTTTGCGGACAGAAAAATTCGAAGCTATGAAGCGCGGATTGAAATCGCTGCAATCTTCATTTACAAAACTCAAAACTGAACAAGAGGCTGCAACTCGTGCCAGCTTTTGTGTGGCTCTTGAAATTGCAAAACGTGGAAAACCATTCACCGATGGAGAAATGATCAAAGAATGCATAATTGCAGTAGCCGAAGAAATATGCCCTGAAAAGGTAAATTTATTAAAAACTGTCAGTATGTCAGCAAACACTGTGGCTCGAAGGGTAGAAAACATCACTGAAAATATATCCTCTCAACTGTTCGACAAAAATGGACATGTTGAGTGGTTTTCTTTGGCCTTGGATGAGTCAACGGATGTGTCAGATACTGCTCAGGTGTTGATTTATATTCGAGGAGTAGATAAAAGCTATGAAGAGCAAGAAGAACTTCTTGATATGTATAGTATTCATGGCACAACTACTGGTACAGATATTTTTAAAGGAGTTGAAATGGCCATTAATCAAAAGAACCTTCGATGGAAAAACTTGAAATGTATTACAACTGATGGAGGCAAAAACATGAGTGGGAAAGATAAAGGAGTGGTCGCTCTTGTGTCAAAGGCTGTAGAAAATGACGGTGGTTCAAAACCATTAGTCTTACATTGTACCATTCATCCTCCGACAATTTATTGAAGAGATTGGAGAAAATGAATCATACTGCCGTACGTTGGCTTAGTTGTGAGAAAGTCCTTCAGCGCTTTTTTGAACTTCGAGCAGTGATCGAATTTTTTTTTAATGAAAAGCATCGCCCTCTTACTGAATTACAAAACAACGCATGGCTGTGGAAGTTAGCATTCTATGTTGATTTGACAAAACATGTGAACGAACTGAATTTGAGATTGCAAGGAGAAAACCAGCATCTTCCTGATTTATACACTAATATCAAATCATTCCGGAAGAAATTGATACTGTTTCAATCACAACTACGAAGTAAATGTTTTTCACATTTTAAAACATGTGAAATATTCAGCCACACCACTGAGACTGAGTTTCCTATTGATTTTGCAATCGAAAACTTTGAGTGCTTTGAAAAATAAATTTTGATACTCGTTTCTCGGACTTTGATGCCCATTGCGAATCAAATTAAGATTTTTCAGAATCCTTTTGATACTGACATTGAAACCCTAGCCCCGGAACTTCAAATGGAAATGATTGATCTACAGTGCAGTGATATAATTAAGAACAAATATCAAAACTCATCTTTGTTGGAATTTTATAAGAGTCTTCCACTGACACAATTTGATAATTTGCATAAATTTGCTCGTGGGCTGTTTTCTGTTTTTGGTACTACTTATTTGTGTGAGAAGACCTTCTCCAAAATGAAGTACACAAAAAATGTTTACAGATCTAAATTAACTGATGAGCATCTTAAATCTCTTTAATAATTGGTACAAGTAAAAATTAGTCCACAACTACAAACTATTGTCAGTGGAAAATCTCAATTACATAAATCTCATTAGTATTTCATATGTCATTATGCTTGTTATAAGTTATGTTTTTATTTAAAATGTATAAAATGTTAGTTGGATTCATTTCAATAATAATTTGTTAGTTATTATATACTTAAGTTAAGTTTTCTGCATATATACATGTCTTTACTCATTACAATTCTGTGTTTCTTTATCCAACTTATCACAAAAACAATAACAATAAGCCTACAACAATGTTATGAGTAGTTAGCCCATGACCATATCAATGTAGATGTCATATTAATAATTATTCAACATAAAATTAGAATACTTCAGTAAACTAAATTTAATTTGCTATAAAAAATATGTTCTCTAAAAGGAGTTTTCAAGTATGCTAGCTCTCCGTGGGCCGGATGTGGCCCTCGGGCCGTAGTTTGGAGACCCCTGGTCTAGAGAGAGACTTGCATGACTTAAGTCACTAGAAAAGCAAAGAATGGTCAGCTGTGGCTTTCATTGTGTGACAAATTCGACTTTTCTTGTCCTCTTGTAGCACTTGATTTTACAAGACTGAGAAGTTCGACTGAAGCCACATTAAAAGGTCACATGGCTCGTGAGGTATAGGTTGGGTATCTCTGATCTAGATAATAACAAAAACTCCCTTTTGTTACATGCCTTAGTAACCCTTCCATGGAGATATTTTCATTTGAGTAGGTAACTTGCTGAGCCTTACGTTAAAAGAAAGCAAATAAATAACTATGGTTTTTTTGGTCTTTAATTTTCTACCTTTTTTAAATATATTTTATTGTAGTTTATATGCTTCATAGTTAATATTTTCATTATTCTTTTATTTTTAATTTGGTGTAAATTATGTTGAATTTTATAAATTTTGCTTATTATCACTAATATGTTGAATATTTTCTTTCTAGTGACTTGCTTAAGATGCAGAGAAAAGAGTAATACATTTGATCACTTTATGGATTTTATTTTAGATATTAAGGTATAAATAGGAGTTTTATATTTTACTTATTGCAGCTTTGTTGATTAAATTTTTTGAGAAATATTATACTGTTATTTCATGCATATTAAAATAAAAATGATAGTGATTTTTAGTCTAAAATTTTGAGTAGTGTTTTAGTAAATTTACTTGAGAACTCAAATATTATGCTTTGAATTTTATTTCTCTGAATATTAAGTAAATTTAAGCTAATATAACATAAATACTTAAAAGTATTAAACATAAATACTAAAAAGTATTGTGTGGTTATAACCTTTTATATTGCATCTACAGTGTTCTAATTGCTGCACTTTCTGCCAAAGAATATATTATTACAAGTTTGCTAAGAAATTGTTCAAATACATTTAATAGTGATCAGACGTACTGTAAAAAGATAAGCAGTACTTTCTGTTATTTGCATCTCCACGAAAAGTAGCCAGTTTATTTGTGGTCTTCAAGAATTGGTATAAACATTTGGTTATCTTTACTTCACAGGTTCTATCCATAAATGCTAATTTAAGATATATATATATATAATGCTGTATGATCTTAAATTCATTTAGTGAGAAATTAAGTTATTGTACTACTTGCGCAATTGCTGCAAAGTAAGTTAATAATAATTTATTTACTAAATAAAATTGATTATATTATCTCCTAAGATTAATTATAGTAGAATGATTTGAAAAGAGTGAATCCATACAGGAGATAATATAATCAATTTTATTTAGTAAATATATATATATATATAGAGAGAGAGAGAGAGAAATAAGACTGAGGAAAACAGAAATGTGTATGTTCATTATTTACACCCTTATACTGGTGAAATAATAGTCAAAATTAAGGGTGTAATTCGTACTCAGACATTTTATAGTATGCATATGCATTGGTTGTCTATTTTTGTGTATATATTACAAATTGTGCCTAATTCTACTGAATAAAGCTGGGACATGGAAGTTCCAGATAAATTTGGTGCAATAGGTTGTTACAAAATGACAAATTACTCTGCTTTTATAACAGGATAGAGATTTGGTACCAGATTTCCATGAAAAGTAGACTAATAATTCTTATGCTGTCTCCTTTATAATTTATTTGATTTAGCAATGAAGTACAATTTTTATGTACTCTTCCTCACAAAATTTTGGCCCATCAGCAGCTAGATAAAATTTGCTGAATACTGGTAGTTCAGCCTGGATTTGATTCCAGTCAAGCAAGCAGTCTGCATAGGCATTTTGTGGTTTTCCCTATGTGTAGCATGGATACAAGCCAGTTCCTTTAGAAAATTCTCTGCAAAGGCATCCCTCAGGTAGATAGTCTGTGAGTGCTTTGCTGTAATCAAACAAAGCCATTCAATCCTCTAAAAATCAAAATATTTTAGAATTTAGTTCGAAACTGTTAATATTTCATCTTTTCTTATATATCCAGAGTTGCCAACTCTCCCGATTTTCGACCGCTCTCCCGCTAACCCGATTTATAATATATTTCTCCCAACTTTTTCTTATTCTTAAAATTTCTCACGATTTTTATGAAACTTGGCTTAATACTTCGTTATATGAAAAAAAAAAAAAAAAAAAAAAAAAAAAAAAAAAAAAAAGTGATTTTGGACGTCTGAAAGCAATTGAATTTTCTCTAGATTAGATCTAAAACAAAACCTTGCGAATCAGATGAGAATTTCTGCTTTGTGAGTGAGAACATACAAATATATCCAGAAACGTCGTTCTCCAAGGGGCATCAAGCTCCACTGTGTGTCATCTGACATATATTAGCCAATGAGCACAAAGCAAGCTCAAGGTTGTTATTTGGATGTTCTTTAGTTATTTCGTTCATCTTGTTCTGAGTTGTGTGAGTACACGTGCCTTTGGGAAATAGTGTTAGAAATTATCATCTTTTGTTATGTCTGCGAGAAAGGTGAAATACTCCCATACGTTTCAAAAATAGTACACAGTTGACTTTCCTTCTATTATTTCCTCAAGGAAATATAATAAATTTGCGATGTGTACTGTCTGTCGTTGCGTTTTTTCGATTTCGCATGGTGGAAGGGCGGATATTCTCAATCATGTGTGTGCACAAAAACACAAGGACAACGCAAGTTGTTTTGAAAAAAAAAATGAAAAACTAAATTTTTCTTCGGAAACAAAGGACCAAAAAGTTATTAATGCAGAATGTCTGTTCTCTGCCTTTTTACTGGAGTCACAACCTGCCACTGAATGCATCGGATCATGCTGCAGCTTTATTTTAAAAAATGGTTCCCGGTAGTGAAATTGCTAAGAAATATACAAGTGCAAGAACCAAAACAGGTGCAATTGTTAAAGAAATGGGTTTGAAAAATAAATCTGATTGCACTAAAACAGCTCCGTTCTGCCTCTCTGCGGATGGAAGCAATAATACCGATTCAAAACTGTATCCAATTGTTGTTTCTTTTTTTAATCCAGAGTCTTCAGAAATTGAGTGAAGTTTACTTTCTGTCCCCACTTTAGAAGGACATTGTACAGGCTTTAATATAGCATAGCTAATTATTAAAAGTTTAAAAGAAAATGCAGTCCCTTTGGATAATTGCTTAGGGCTTGGTGCCGATAATGCACCAGTAATGGTAGGCTTGAAGACTGATTTTGCAGGCATCTTAAGAAAGGAAAATTCAGATTTGCAGATTATGTGGTGCACCTGTCACCTCTTAAATTTAGAAGCTGAAAAAGGGGCAGATTCTTTACCAGTAAATTTGGATGAACACATTGTTGATATTTATTATTATCTTGAAAGGAGTTCTAAAAGGAAGGAAAAATTGAAACAGTTCCAACAGCTGCATAATACTGAAATGAGAAAAATTTTGAAATATGTGTGTACACCCTGGCTGTCTTTAAAGAAATGCTTATCTAAAATCCTCGATCAATGGAACCTTCTTGTATTTTTTAAAGAAGAAGTAAATGCTTCGAGAGTTAAGATAAAAGGCTCTATTGAAAGTTATAAAATGCCTAAAGTAAATGGAGGTGTAGTTACTATTTCCATTGTTAAAAATAGGTTTGAGAAAAATAAAGTAATTTCTGCACCAATCAGCAATTTAACTGGCAGTTCTCAAAATAATACTGCAAAATATAAGCATAAAGCTGATAAAAATTTCTCTCAAAATAAAAAAAATTGCTCAACACACGAAATATTTTCCGATTACTGCAAGTTTATAGCTAAGCACGAATCTGCCACTGTTCATAACATTCTGAATATGAAAGCAAAATCTGCCACTAATCATAAGATTTGTATGAAAACTGATTAAAGTGTCTCTCTCTCTCTCTTTTTTTTTTTTTTTTTTTTTGTTTCCTTAAAGAATGCAAGTAATAAAAAATTTTTTTGTGTTGCTTGCATTTAAGAATTAGTAACTATTTAAAGTTAATTCATTATTAAAAACTATATTTTTATCATTTTGTGAAAAACCTCCTGATTTCTTAAAAAAATCTGATTTTTGAGTGTCATAGTTGGCAAGTATGTATGTTGACTATTGGATAAAATGTTGTAATAATCTTTAGATGAATTCTATTCATGATAATTATTTGTTGATGCTCAGTGTATGAAATGTTAATTCATGTTATGTTCCTTATTTCAGCAAAATGTGCTTACATTGGAAAAGGCTTTAGAAAAATTCATTCAGCCTGAGATATTGGAGCAAGAAAATGCTTATAAGTGTCCAAAATGTAAAATGAAAGTAGTTGCACAAAAGAGGTTTTCAGTGTTTCAGCCTCCTAATGTTGCTACTTTCCAATTAAAAAGGTATATTTTACTTTCCAAAATTTCGATTTAATAAATTTTACCTTTGTTGTATGAAACTTTTTTTCATAATTTCACAGCAGGGGAAACATGGGATAAGCGAAGATGTTGGATGATATGGACAGATTTAAGAAAAAAAAAAAAAATATATTTAATTATATCTTACATTACAAGCTTAATAATCATGTTTTGCAACAGGAAAATTTAAATGACAAAAGGAACATGCTATGACAGATTTGTCTAAACTTAACATGTACAGTACTTCAGAAGTTCACTTCTGTGATGACTGAATGAAATTTTTTATCATGGTTTGCTTTCTTGACAAGTTCCATTTCTTTGCTGCCAAATATTGCCACCTTTGCAGTACCATTATGTTTGTTCCTGTAATTTCCTGTTGCTTGATATGTTTTATTGCAGTTTCTTGAAACTTAACTCCATCATTATGTGAAATTCTGCGAGGCTTAGCTATTGGTGCTTGGTCTTGATTTTCAGTTTTGTTTTTATCACAGTTAACTAGGGTAACCATTCATTCCTCCACCAGTTTTTCCATGTTGTTCACCTAACTTTAAATTCCTTTCAAGATGCATCTTCATATCCAAGGATACATTACCCTAAAGGTAGAATGGTTTCTTCTCAGCTTTCTGTTTTCATACTTTAATTATTGTCTAGCAGCTTCTTTCATGATTTGCACAGTTGTTATAACATATTACAGCTCAGTTCTTTGCAGCCCAATAAGCAACATTATTTACATTGATGTATTTCTATTTTTCAACCATGCCGCGTCCTTTTTCAGTTCCGCGAACGGGCTGGCTTGGGTGTTTTCGTGGTTTTTCCCATGTGTAATGTGTATACGAGCCCGTTTCCCTTAAAAAGCCCTCCACGAAGGCATCCCTTCCCTTAGGCAGATAGCCCTCGAGGCTTTGCCGTAATTAAATAACCTAGCCTTTTTCAGTTCCTTCTATTACTGTAGACAGTAACTTCCTGCAGTAGTTCGTTTCCAAAATGCCCTGATCCTTTTGCCTATTGTCTTCATTCCATAGGCTGGCATATGGCAGTTACATTAGAAGGGGGCAGGATCATTACCTTAATATCATCGTCTTGAAGCTCATCTTCATCAGGGTATGTTGGAGCATTATCTAGAAACAAAACAGGTTTTTTGGATAAATTATTTTTTTTAAAAAACTTTTCTGTTGAAGAACTGAATTCCTTAAAGGACCAGTCTTTGAAATTTTCACTGCTCATCCATGCGTTTTTTTTTAACTACAGTATTTTGCAGGAAGAGCATTTTTTGAAACTGAAGGGTCTAGAATTTTGAGACCATCCAATCCATTTTTAAGGTTTTTTGTACCATTACTGCATGCTAAAATTGTCAGCCTTTCCATACTATACTTACTGCCAGGATCAGCTGTTTCAGTTTTGACTGCAAGACTTTTACTAGCTAACGTTTTGTAATTCAGGTCTGACCAATCACAATTAAAAATCTGTTTACCCATTAGGCTTTCAATTCAATTAATTCTTAAAATATTTTCTTGAATGCTTCCATTTCTTCAAAATTCGATGATATATTTTTACCACAAGCACTTAACTGATTGATATCATGGCATTTCTTCCATCATTCAAGCCAACCGACACTTGCTGTGAAATCTGAGTCCCATTCATTGAAATTATTACAGAAATGCAACACCTTTTTCTGTAAAATAGCCTCTGAAATAGGCCCATTTTTGTCCATGAAGTGTATAAACCAAACATATAACACTTCTGACTTTTTCTTAAACACATAGTTTTCTTTTAATGCAAAATTGATGCTTACCTTTTTTCTATTTTCTGTTTGTTTCCTTTTCCATTCTCTTACATGATCCATCCAATGCCAGCTACCTCCTGTATTGTTTCTCCTTTGCCTATTGTCTTCATTTCCTTGCATTTTTAGTCTATTGATACTACATCTTTCCTTTCTTTTGTCACCATTCTTTCTGTCCTTGTGTAAATTTCAGTTTCTAAAAGTGCAATAGGCCCACCAACGGCAGAGTGGTAAAGTCCCTGAACACTGGTAGTTCGGTCCGAGGTTTGAATCCCATGAACAGGCTGGCTGTATGGGTGTTTTTGTGGTTTTTACAATGTGTAATGCATTAATATGAGCCAGTTTACCTTAGAAAGTCCTCCACAAAGGCATCCCTCCCTTCCATTTAGTGTCTTAGGACAAAACATGTAAATAATAATGTTTGTCAAATTGGATATACCAACACAGATACATATGCAAGAAAAGTAACAGAGGATGAACTGATCCACATGCAATGCTAAACCGCACTGCACTGAATGAAAAGACGCATGAATCATCTTGTAGATGAATGTGCCACAGGGTAGGAACAATCCCCCCCTCCAAAAGTCTATGGTTACAACTTCCATCTTTTCATCTCTGCTAATGTATTTCTAAAAGTGAATAATAATTTTAAAATATCACTAACTTTTCTGCAATCAGTTTTGTGTAGAATTGTACCGTTAACTGCTTTACTTGTAAAGGCAAATATTGTTTCAAAATAAAGTTATTTCTAGAGAAGTTTAAAACTTGGGTGTTTTCCTGAATCCATAGAAAGGGTAATAAGAATATTTATTTATGTTTATGAAAAATTGCATTAATTAAGAAATGCAAAATCTTTGTTAATTTAATAAAAATGCATCTTTCTGTTGAAAAACTCTTTTACTACTCTTAAAGCAATATGAATATATAATTGTGATATGTAAATATTTCATAATTCTGACGAACAGTTTCTAATGATGTGAAGTCTGGCCATTCTTAATATATAGCTTACAATATTATGCATGCATGCATAAGACTGTTAGGTTTCAGAACATATTACTTGTGAATACAGGGCAAATACAATACATAGAATTTTTTAAAAAGTGCTTTTATCTTCTCTTTCATAATTTTAATATACTAAAATATGAATTAATTTATGAATTAATAATTTATTTTATCAGGTTTGATTATCACCGGACATTTGGTGGAAAAATTACCAAGCAAATTACGTATCCAGAAAGGCTGAATCTTCGTCCTTATATGTCAGATCCTAAGGTAAGGTGTAACTTTTTTAGTTTAATATAAAGATGAGTACTTTTATTATATTTTTGATTGAATTTTTTAAAATTAAATCTTTCTTAAATAGTGATGACTTCTTTCTTCTCTCACTGATAAAAAATATTTGCCATTATTAATAGTATTGGTATTCTTGATAGTAAGAAACATGTTATGAACGTAAGTAAACTATAACAGCTTAATACTTTTTTATCTTTGAAGTTGTCATTGATAGCTTTTAAATTGTTTAAACACCTGGATCTACAAATCCTGAATGTCATATATTCCATATATTGGTCGTATATTACATCCATGGAGTTATTTTATATATAAGTAATAACATCAAAGTATGTAACCTGAATTTTAATTTAAATTTCCATTAGCTCTTTAACTTTCATTTTAATTTGGATATTTCCCTTTTCTGTTTTAAAAATAGTATTGTTAATAATAAACCAATTAAAAATCTGTTTAATCGCTCTAAACTGCATAATCTAAAATTAATAGCCATCATATGAATTTTAAATAAGGCTGGTGACCTAGATAGATTTGTAAACTGCAACTCAGATGACCAATAATAAAGAGAGAACAAAACATGGCAAAGTAAAACATGAATTTAGGTAAACCAGCTACCTTGTGTTTGGCATAGATTTTAGTCGAGACTCGAGTCAATCCATTTCAGATATTAGTTGCTGTGTTTTGAAAGCAAATAGGTACATGTCCATTTGAAAGCAAATAGGTACATCCAAAGAAATATGCAAGAAAGAGAAAACCAGGCTTGTATTTATACGCAAAAAGAGTTATATTTCGAGTTCCAAAATATAGAATTCATTGTAATTTACTGAAATCAGTTTCAGTGAAATATAATTAAACCCCTCCCTGAAACAAAAAGTAAAATTTTAGTTATTGGAAATTTGAAAAAATTATAGACTCTTGGTTGTATACAGATTCTGAAATATTAGGACTTTAATTATTTGCAAAAATACAATGATTTGTTCCCCCCTCTTTCTATAAATACTTATTTAACTGAAATTTATGCTTTTTTTATTTGAATTATTAAAATATGCTAGTGTATACATCATTCTTGTATTTTATGAAATTTAAATCGTAACAAATGTATAATACTGACTAAAATACAATTTATTTGTATATTTATTTTGGCAGGGTGATCCAGTATGGTACCATCTATATGCTGTACTTGTTCATTCAGGTCCTACTTGTAATTCTGGACATTATTATTGTTATGTAAAGAATTCTAATAATCTGTGGTACATCATGGATGATCAGCGGGTAATTTTTTATTCTTGTATCTTTTCAAAATTGTATTTTATTATAAAATGTTTAACTGCATATTCTTCACATTTTCAAGCTTAAATGTAGCTATGTTTAATTCTGTTCTAGTATTTATGTTTTAAAGAAATTCTATACCTCAATACAATTTTTTATTAAACGGGGGGGGGGGGGGGGAAGGCATAATGGGACATTAGCATCTACATGGCCAATTTTCTGTGTATGCAAAGATCAGATGAAGATTGTGTTGACATCATACATTATGCAGTGTTTTATTTTGTTGACGTTTAACAGTATCTCCTCTAATTATAAATTTTAAGAGACTAGAAACATACAGTTCCACATTTTCCAGTTAAGTCCTGCTAAATAATTATTAACACTGTTGTAGACAAGCAATATTAAGAGCAAATGTGAGATTATATGCATATGAAATTTAATGTTCTATTTTGAATATGAATTTCTGGAAATTTCCCTTGGTTTTCCCCATGTGTAACGTGTATACGAGCCAGTTTCCCTTAGAAAGTCCTCCACGAAGGCATCCCTCCCCTTAGGCAGATAGCCCTAGCGTGCTTTGCCATAATTAAATACACCACCACACCACACCACTGGAAATTCCCCCCCCCAGACCAACAACTGGAAGTCTACCAGTTGGTGTAAGCAGTGAAATTAAAGGAGGAGATCTGAAGTAGTTTCACATTTCTCATAGAATTTCTGTGTGATTAGGATGCATGATTTAAAAAGATAAGCAGAAGAATTATGAAAGTATGGATTTCAAATTTAAAAATACACTTGAGAACATGATGAAAAGAAAAAGAACCAAAGCCCCAAGACATTTTAAAGAGCTAAAGATAATGAAGCAATTGGAAATGAATTTAAATGCTAAAATATGATGGTTGTATTACTGAAAAATTGTTTATCAGCTGTGATTCACCCTAATTTAAGAGAAATAAATTATTAAATTTTAATGAGATAAACGTGTGTTTTAAGTGTATTGTTTAGGAAATTTTAGTTTTGATTCCCCTCCCCAGTTTTTGAATTTCTTAAATTTGTGAAGAATAGAGAAATTATCCTAGTCTAAATTTTTTTAATTGTAATTTCATTAAAGTATTTTGTAAAGTGTTATTAAAGTATACATATTGAGTTCTATGTATTTACTATAAACCTTTATATTATACTTACTTAGGTTCATCAAGTAAGCCTTAATCAAGTTCTCAATCAAAGTGCATATGTTTTGTTTTACATAAAGAAAGGAACTACAGAAGGAACATCAATTAAGGTTTGCAATTTTTTTCAATAAATGTAATAGTTTATTTGTTATGTTTTAGAGTATTATAATTGTTAAAAGTGTCTGGATATGTCTCTACATCTGTTAAATTTTCAGAATGTAATATGTGTGTATTACTTATTTTTATAATAACGAGCTAAAATATAATATTTATGTTAATACGTTTGAAATATATATATTAATATACCAAATCCAAATGTAGTTCTTTACTACTTAAAATATTTGCTTTGTTTGTGGTTTTAGAGCAAAGTATATTTTTACTGTCAAAATTTTGCTGTAATAAATAATCATACACTTAAGTAAATTACATAAACTTATTACAAGATCTATGTTTTTTTGACGTAAACATCAATATGAGACAGCGAGAAAGTCCTGTTAGAACGTTGTATTCTAATATGTAGATAATCTAATGCAGGTACCATAAAATTAAAGCTCACATGTCGCATAGCTCATAACTTTTTGACTAGTTAAAAGCAGCTTGCATTGTGTCAAGCATTAAGTATATTTTTCTAAAATATTATTTCAAATATCATTCTGTGTCATAACAATCAATGTAATTTCTAAAATTGCACTGTAATAATTTCAAAGCTACTTAAAAATATGTGCCACATATTAATCATCAGGGGAATAAATAATTGATAATTACATTTTTGTTACTAAATGTCATGATGTTATTGTTTTTAGAACTAGTAATGGATTTCATAATAGAAAATGTACATATTTTGGCATTAATGGTGTAGGTTAAATTTTAGTAAATGATATTTCAAATTTGCCCACTGTAACTTGCACTTAAAATTGTAATCAATTTTGTTCCCAATGAAATTAAGAATTTAAGATGTGTAGTTGTGAGGGAGAAACTAAACTTTTGCTTTTTTATATAAAAAAAACCTTTAAATCGCAAGTTCATTTAAAAATAATTTCCACTTTTTTTTTTTTTTTTTTTTTTTTTTTTAACCTTTAGCTGTCTTTAGACATTTTAGTTTTTCCAGTGAAAAGTACATGGTATAAGAATAAAGAAAAGTTGCTAGTTTTGCTTTTCGAATTATTGCTATATTCACTCAGATAGAAAGGTTTTGGAGATTACTAAATCATCTCTTGTTTAAAATTTACACCTATTAAACGAGTTTATGTTAGAAATGAGTGTTTAATATTTTGTCTTAAAAATACCGTGTCTTAAAACAGTTAATTTGTATATTAGGTGCACACTTTCCGAATATAGAGCAGAATGAGAAAAAATATTTATGTAAGCTTGTAAGTAAGCTTATTAGTTAAAAAGCAAAATGCTTATTAGTTGATTGAAAACTTTTGTTAAGAAGCTGTTCTTTTACTTTTAAAATCATTAAAATTATTGCTTAACTATCTAATTGCAGCTCTTTGTTCTAATCAAACTTTGTCTTAGAATGAATTTTGATTTCTAACACATGGCTCATGAAACTTTTTTATTATAAAAGCATAGATAGTTGATTCTGTGCTCATGTATTTTCATCCAGTGTTAGGGTGATGTAAGAGTCTTGGTGATAGTCTCTGATATTTTGTTACGAAGGTGTTATAGTAACCATGTTTGAAATTATTATGATAATTTGTAATCATTATATATGTGGGATTTTAAATTTATAGCTTAATATTTTTCCTCGCGCGCTGTCTAAATTTAGCTGTTGACTGCACGAGTGAAATTGATAGAACTCTGGCCACTTTGTTTTATGAGAGGAGATGTAAGATTATATATGATATAGATGTGGTATTAAGAGATGTAAAACGTTATAGTTGTCATGTTAATAGATATAAGATGTTATAGATATCGTGGTAATAAATAAACAATGTTATAGATATCGTGGTAATAAATAAACAATGTTATAGATTTTGTATTTATAGATGAACTATATTATAGATGTATTTAATGTTTTATTAAATGTGTTTTGTTTGAATATGAATTATTTCGAAACTAAAGAATCCACATATATGTTAGATTCTTGTTAAGATCTTGTCAAATTATATTGAGCTTGCCTGATATTAGTTGAATTTTACTTTATTGATATTCATGTAAAGGCCTTAAAACAATGTTTGAAAATGGTAGAGAATTCATTTGTAATGTTCCTTAAATTTGTATTAGTCTGAAATGCATGGTTTTTTCTGAAGTACATGCCAAGTTCTGTTGTCAACCCATGGTATCATTTGTATTCCAAATTCAGTAACATTTGCATTCTTAAATATATTTTCATATGAGAGTGTAATATATATTTCCTTTTGCAGAAGAATTTTGAGAATAGAAATTCCCTTGTAAAAGGTACTATTTCTTGTAAGTATCCTCATTGTTGTTGTTTCTGCTTTTCTAATTATTAGAATAAAATATAGAGTGCCAATTAGTGTTTCTATTATATTCCTTGTATTTACACAGATATTAAAAATCTAAAAACTGGCTTTTTAAAGCAGAAAAAGAAAATGGCCAAATTACTCTTATTAATTTTGATTAGTATTGTAAGAAAAATATGTGCACTGTGTGTTGTATTTAATTCTCTTTCCAATACTAGCAAAGTAACCATAATTTGAAATTTTCTTGTAAGTATTTTTCATGATCTTTGTACAATAAATTTCATCAACCTTGAGAGCAACAATAAGTGTTTTGACTTGAGTGTGTTGATCTTATTTTTCCTTTTCAAAGTTTGTTTTATTAATTTGTAAGGATAAATTTGCAAAGATCTCGTAAGAGTAGTTCAAAGTAATTTTGAAAGCAGCTTAAGTCCTGTTTATCAAAGTAGCATTAAATTTGGTTCTGGGAAGTAGTACTTTTCTGCTTGATAGCAAGCTAAAACAAATTTCATATCTGATCTACTATAGTCATTTTAAAACATGGATACGAGGGTTGCCTTATAAGTTTTTACAGTCAAACAATAGATGGCGTTAGTGAGCTTTGGCATACCTGTATTTGAGGACATTGACGTTTGTTATTGCAAAGCCAATGGCAACTTAGTAACTGACCAATTAGGTTGTTGATAGTGAACATTTAAAAAGAGGCCTTACTCAACAACAATGCGTAGAATCGCTTTGTGCAACTTTTGGTAATGAAGCACCATCAGAAAAGACTGATTACAATTGGTTTGCAAAATTTTGTCATGATCATGCTCCGTCAGTGAGGAAAGTCAAGAAGGTCGGTTGAAATTGGTTTTTATTCCGAAAAACATCGATGCTGTGCGTAACATGATTAAAGAAGATTGGTATTTGTCTCGCAGACAGGTAGAGGCGTGTCTCGGCATATCACAGACTGCAATACAGTCGATTTTGTATGAACATTTAGGTGTGAGAAAGATTTGTTGAAGATGGATTCTGCATAATTTGACCAAAACTTGTGTTGCTCATGTTAATTGCTGTCACAAAATGTATGTTGAAAAAATTTGACCGAGAATGTTCAAAATCTGTATACAACATTGTTACAAGAGACAAAACTTGGATTAATTTGTATGAACCTGAAAGCAAACTACAGTCTACTGTTTGGGTGATGAACCCAAGCCCACTAAAGTTGTTCGTTTATGGAACACTTCCAAGAATATGATCGTTTATTTCTTCGGTTGTACTGGACATGTTGCAACCATTCCTTTAGAAGATCGAAGAACGTTTAATGCTGAATGGTATATAGCATTTTGTTTGTCAAGGGTTTTCGATGAAATAAAGAAAAACAATAAAAAAATCACATCGTTCTTCGACAATGCCAGCTCCCATACAGCACGTGAAACAACTGAATATTTGAAGGAGAAAAACATTGAATTAATGTCTCATTGCCCATATTCACCCAATCACTTTTTCTTGTTCCCCACTGTCTGACAAAAAATGCATGAACAGCGAAAAGCTGTTAAAAACTTTTCAAAACCATGTTTCTATGATTTCAGCTTCAGAGTGTAGAAAATGTTTCCAGAATTGAATTGAACATACGCAAAAATGTATAGACCTTAAAGGTGAATATTTTGAAGAGCAATGCAATAGGTTGATTCCAACTTGTTCGTTTTTGTTTCAATTTTTGTAAAAACTTAAAAGGCAACCTACGTAGCTTCTATCATCTGCTTAATTTGATAGTTTGCCAGGTAAAGAAACTTGGCCGTGTGATCAAAAAATGGGATTGGCCAGAAAAAACATATAAAGTCCAAAATCTGAGTCTCAGTGCTGAATGCCACTTCTATCTTTGTTTGTATTTATAATTTTGATTATTGTCTCTGCAAAATCTTTTAAATTTGAATAGTTCCTTTTAAAATCTTCCTTAAAATTCTTTCTATATTTCTCTCTTGCACTCTGGGTAAGCATACATTTATTAACAAAGTGCCAGGCATCCCCCAAACTTATCACATATTAAGCATTTATCATTATTCTGTAGATGGAACTGATTAAAATAATCCAGGGAATACCCATGATAAGTCAGTATCTGATTTTTATCAACATTATTTATAATATTCATCTTCTTGTTTAACTTTATATTTGTTATTAACTATTTTTTTTTATCAGAAGACTCCCAGCAAAAATTCCATTCTGTATAAATCCAGTTTTCCATTTCAGCAATGGTCTTTTTCCTTGAATCTTGGATATCAAAATTATCAGTCCTATCCACAAGTGCCGCCATTTTAGCGAGTGTGTCCGCCCTTTCATTTCCGACAATTCCACTTTGTGCTTACACCCAGTGTAATTTAACAATATGTTTTCTTTCAGCCTTTTTAAACAAGTGTTTTATTTCATTAATCAGTCGATTTTTGTGATCTAGTTGGATGAGTGCCTGCAGCGCAGATAGAGCATCAGTATAAATATTTATAAGACATTTCAGACATTTATTAATTCATTTCAGAGCCTCTGTCAAAGCGTATAGTTCTGCTTGATAAACCGAATTCATTGGTTTAAGTTTAATTCTCACATTTTCTATCTCCACTCAATGAAATCAAATTACCACAGTGCTACCCACTCCACCATCAATTCCAGAACTATCTGTAAAATTGTCTATTTTGCCACCAGAAGGAAAATTAAGATAATAAAATAATCCAAATCATGTTATTGGGTGAATAATAGCCTCATTCTCTTGTTGAAAGGCCTTACTCTTGAGTACTTTTTGTCAAATTTCAGTCTTTTCAGAACTACAAGTAAGTTTTTAAGAATATAACACTCCTTTTAAATAAGGGAAAGAGATACATTTCTTAATACTTGTTTTAATATTTTTAAAACCAAGTTAAAACTGCCATATAAATCTATAAATATACATTTAATAGTTTTAAGTTGTATTAAAAGAAATCTTATACAACTGCATTACACCACAAAACACCTGATGAAATTTATGCAAATAGAAATAATCACAAGGATCAGCATTTAATTATGTTAAATAAATTTACAGTGTGAAAAGAAAGAGCATGTGACTATCAAAATGTTAGCATAATTTGTATGAAATCGAGAAGGGCGGGCCATCTACAAGGACACAGGCTATCTTTCTTACTTGAATCATCATTTTGAAACTAAAAGAGCATGGTACATAAATTAGGCTAACAGAATTATTTTCAAATGGGAAGCATTTCACTGTAATTGTTAATTTCAGATACTGTATAGTATCTGAACATATAATCCCATCGAAATATACCTCCCCTCCAGCTTATTGAGTTTTGTCTTTGTGTACGTCAGGAGTTACTTGATGTAATTATTTAAAGTCCTGATCTGCACATTTTTTTTTTCCAGATGTTTAAAATGTTGGCAGTTTAATGACATTTTGATAGTCACATGCTCTTTCTTTTCATGCTGTAAATTTATTTAACATAATTAAATGCTGATCCTTGTGATTATTTCTATTTGCATAAATTTCATCAGGTGTTTTGTGGTGTAATGCAGTTGTATAAGATTTCTTTTAATACAACTTAAAACTATTAAATGTATATTTATAGATTTATATGGCAGTTTTAACTTGGTTTTAAAAATATTAAAACAAGTATTAAGAAATGCATCTCTTTCCCTTATTTAAAAGGAGTGTTATATTCTTAAAAACTTACTTGTAGTTCTGAAAATGAAGTGAGGTTTTTTTATATGAACAAGTACATTGGAAGGGATATTACTAAACTTCATCATATTAATAAAGCATGATTAGCAGGATTATATACAGTCAAAAGTTTTTAATCCGGACTCGTCGGGACTTCGGCAATTCCGGATTATAGATCATCAGTTTAAATCTGGTAAAATGGCATGCAGAAATTATAAAATTAAAAATATGAAACCATAATTTATGAAATAAAGAACAATTATGATCTAAAGGGTATCAAAATTTACAAAAAAAGCTTAATATTTATTTGTTTACTTTATTAAACATTTCTTTCAATGCGCGCATGCGTAAAGCATACATTACTCATAGTCGAAATTAGAAAATTGCAACCAGAAAACTATTTGATGTGTATTCGTGATATATATAATGACGAGGAATTTGATTTAAATCATATCAAAGGCGGAATACATCGAGATGAAATACTGCATTTAGTAAGGAATTATAAGCGAATAAAATAAAAACATCTGCCCTGAAGATAAGGATAGTGCTGACAAATCAACTTCCAGTTTATTGCTCGTCGCGACGTTCCCCTCCCCCGCAGAGCAGCCTGAAATTGATAAACAGATTTGGGAATGGTTAGAGAAACAAAGGATATGCCGTTATCTATTTTTTACAGCAATTCCACTTTTTGTTTGATGGACATTGAAACATGCTTTTGCTTTTTGTAGATCCGTTGGGAGCTCCAGCATCGGAAATTATATTTGACATAATCGAAAGTTCAAGCTTACTTTTATAAAATTGCTCTAACAGTCTGCAAAAAATAATGAGCCGGATCCATTTCGAAGATTAAGGAACAACACAATCTGCAACATTAACTGAAATAGATAATTAAATAATTTCAGCTGAAATAGATAATTAGATAATTTCAGCTGAAATAGATAATTAGATAATTTCAGCTTAGCTTATACCGCCCATTATACATGAAACGCGCATGCATAGACGTATTATGCACATGCGTAAAGGTATTACGCGCATGCCTTTACAAACTTTCTGCGCATGCGCAGAAAGTTTGTAGCTTTGAGGTCCGGTTTATAGATCATTCCGGATTATGGACGTCCGAATTAAAGACTTTTGACTGTACTTTGTTGTTTATAAAGTTATATTAGGAAATGTTTAACATAATTTTTCTTTCTAGCTCCTAACTTTAAAAGAGTAGCTGAAATTTCTTCTATAAAATCGACACCTCTCAAAGAAGTTCAGACATCTGTATCCAGCCCAACAGCAAAGCTTCAAGTGTATTCATTTACTAATATAAATAAGAAAATGAGTTCACCTAATCAAAGTAAGGAGAAAGTTTCTTCTGGTATTCATCCAAGTATGCCTGTTATTCAGGAAATGAATAAACCTTGTGTTTCATTGCATGCAACAAAGAAAGTAAAACAGTGTACTACAGTATCAAAAGCTGATCATTATCAGTGTGGACTTGTGCCTTACATAGAAGATTCATCAGAATCCTCTGATGAAAATAATAGTAATCGACCTTCAAATACAAAAATTACACACAGTCAAGAAGCCTCAATTAGTGTATTAGGAACTCCTAAAGATGATGGTGCCAAACAAAATTTAAAAAGTGTTACAATTGATAAACCATCTCCACATCTCGATATTAGGAGAAAAACCATCAAAACTGCATTGAACTCTAAATCTGTGCCATCCAGTCCAATTTTTACAAATTCCATTTCTCCTAAAGTCATAGCTACAGGAACCTGGACAGTTACTGATGCACATGAAGATTCACCATCAGCAGGTTCATGTTCTAGTAATAACACTGTAAATTCAACTTCTGACTGGCACGTGACAAGCACGAATACTGATTTGCCACTCAAAAAGCCTGTGCATAAGTTTTCTCAGAGTGAGAGTAATATGGTTAGTAAGGAAAGTGGGCACAATTCCACTAAAAAGCTATCAGAATATAACACACATACCTCTGGCAGTGTCATGAACTCTCCTGCTCAGAAAAGTATAGGAAAAAATTCACTTCCTGGTGGTGATAAAGCTGAATTTGCAGCATCGTCTTGTGAAATTAGTAATGTGCACAGTTTAAAAAATCCAGCTTCCTCAAAGTGTGATTTTCGAAAGCAACCGAGTCAAAATGAGAAGCCTTTTCTTGAGAGCGAGGGAAAATTCAACAGACGAGAGCATGATTCCTCCTTCCTTAAAAGGAAATGCAATGACTTTACTCAGAAGGTTTCTGAAAACTCCATCAGGGCTTTTCACTGTGAAAACCGATATAGTTCAGTACCTAAAAAAGCTAAATATACACAAGAGTTAAATTCATCATCTGAAAAAGAGAGAACTATTTCAGGTTCAATACATAAGTTGTCCTCAAATATGTCAAAAGTATCTCAAAGTTACAGTGCATCAAAGAACGACACAGTACATTTTACAAAAGACTCTTATTCCAAAATAAATTATTCACAACAAAATGGAAGCATAAGCTGTCATAGTGACAAAGTTTTAAGGACTAGTGAAAAAACAAAAGTTGGAAAGAAGTTAGAGAGTGACTGTGAAAGTCTTTCAAGCTCTGAAAGTTCTAGTTCTGGTAGCCTAGAATATGAATGGGTAGAAAAAACTAAAGATGATATTGAAAGTCATCAATCATCATCTAAAGGTATTTTATTTTTAATACCAATATGCTTTCTAGACATTTAAAAATGTTTATTAGTGATAGAGCATTGCATGATTTTTTTTTTCAGTTATGTTAAATATTAACACTTGAGGCTGGAGAGAAAAAAATCATGTCTTCCGTCAACCAATACTTCTGGCCCAGAGATAAATTTGTTATTTAAAATTAATGCTTGTGGGCAAGAGCCATAAATTCATGGATCTCTATGACAACAACTTACAGCCCAGAGGTGTAAATTTGTGGCCTTTTCACCCATTTATTTAAACAAAAATACATTTTTTTGGAGGGGAGGGTAACGCAGGATATAACTTTCACTTGTAGATTTATATGTCTATTATCTATTAAGTTCTTAACACCTGCCATGTGGTTAGAGTACAATTGATGTCTGATAAGATAGAAATTTTGATGCCTTTTTTAAAGAATTTTTGATTTCATCTGGTATCTCTGTTGAGCATTGTATCCTATGTCATGATAGTGATGATGAAGCTAATTTTTGAATAACATTTCACATAGAAGAAAACAATGTTATTTCCTGTTGTGGTACAGCAATAAATTAATCAGGTTCAATTTATATTGTAAAGCAGTCTTGGAAATAGTGTAAATTTTAAACAAAATAAACTGTTCCTAAAAGTAATAGTATTTTAAGAATCTGATTGTGTTGCAGAGTGTACAGGAGAAGTGCAGCAGAGTGAAATAGCATAAAATTTGTTGCCAAGTACAGTAGACATTAAATAAGATTTCATTGAAATGTTTATAATATAATTAAATAACTTATACTTTTTTACATATCCTTATTTTATATGAGATGGTTTATTTTCTATTTGTAAAAGTTGAGGTACAAAATTCACATTGGATTCAACATTTTTCTGTTTTAGCTGAAAGGCAAATTAATACAACAAAACTGTTCAATGAATTTATGCTCCCGAATTATGATGGTTAGATATATAAAATAAGTTTTGCATTATATTAGTGTTTAACGTGTTATAATAATTAATATGATACAGCTGATTCCAGGTAATTAAGACTAATTCATTTTGGCTCAGTTAAGCAGCTGCCCCAACTAAATTGACTAATAAGAAATTATTAAAAATATTTAATATGTAGGTAAAAAAATAAGTTCCTTTTTAAAAAAATTTTATTAAACCAATATATAGAAAGAGTTTGTACTATAAATTGTTCAGCAAAAATAATCCATGCATGATAAATTTTATTTCTGCAAAATGCATCAGGTTTAAGTCTATCTTTTGCTTCTAAAATTTTGCAATTTTACAAGGTTAATGCAGATGTAATGCTTCCTACATTACTTTTCTGCATAAAATGATGCTGTAGTAACCAATTTTTGCCTCATGATATGTCACAAATACAGGTGTGTCATCAACCATTGTTTTCTTGAAATTTGTGACACTTGGATTCAACTATTTCAACAATTCAATTCTCAGAGTTTCCATTTTCATCAAAGCATGGTGAATTGTCAACTGTTGTTGAGAACTCTTTGTTACTAATGATAGGAACTTGCCTTCATTTTCCTTACTGCTCAAAATTTCAAGAATTTTCAAAGATTTTATTTTGCAAACAGCAAAATGGTTTTGTATTTTGTTTCATTAATTCATCAACTATCAGCAACAAATTTTGCTTGCAAAAAGGAAATTTCTGTACTGATCTCTGTGGCTGTTGATGAACTTGTTAATAAATTTTCATCAGTGAATTCCAGTATGTGGTTAACCAGGTTTCCTTAGTACAATGTCCTTGAATTTTTTTGTTACCCACCTGTTCATAGATTGCCCATTGCCCTAAGGACTTTTTATTTAGAGGAAGGAATTAACAGCCTTATATTTTTTAGATTATCTAAATTAGGGCACAATTATTAAACAGCAACAAAATTATCCTCTGCTTAGGTTATAGGCCCACAGCGGCCGAGCGGTAACGCCGCTGAATACTGGTAGTTTGGTCCGAGGTTTGAATCCCGCGAATGGGCTGGCTGCATGGGTGTTTTCGTGGTTTTCCCCATGTGTAACGTGTATACGAGCCAGTTTCCCTTAAAAAGTCCTCCACGAAGGCATCCCTCCCTTAAGGCAGATAGCCCTCGAGTGCTTTGCCGTAATTTAATAAACCAAACCACATCTGCTTAGGTTATAATTTTTTTATCCCAACTTGTAAGCCAGTTCCCCCCCAAAAAAAATCATAGTCATCCAGGCATTACTATTGGTATTCTAATGGTAAACTCTCTATTCTTAATCTCTCAAAGCACTGAAGCTAGTATTTTTCCTATAACAGTAATTTATCTTTGTCAGTATCTCTGTAATGCAATCCATGGCCATTCCATAGCAAGATGATACAGTGTACTTGTAACTCAGAGAGCCCCATTTGGCCAAGCAACATAACAGAGGCTGGTTTGTAGATGGCATTCTAAATAGCATCTGAACAAATGTTTTCTAAAAAAGCAGGGATTTGGGTAATTTTTTCCCTATTGGTTCACCACTTACGTTATCCCTGCCCTTTTTGCAATGTGCTTTTTAAAACTTAATAGTGTGTCTCACTTTCCATTGAGAAGATCAATAATAGTTATTTTAAAATCACTGTAGACTGCCGTTTTAGCAATCTCTTCAGACTTTAAAATTAGGTAGCTGATATTATGCATCATATGCTAACTATAGAAAACCATTGATTTAATGCTGTTTGTCTTCTGGATCCAATTCCATTGCACTTTTTTTTAAATCTTCATAGAATTTCTTTCTATAGGGTTCCTTCCATATTGTCTTCTTGTAGGAGACATGTTATGGTAGATTTTGGTACACATATCATTAAGTGCACGGTGGCTTATTATTCAGTGGCTGGCTGTTAGTTTTAACCAGCAGAGCAATTTTACTTGAAAGCATAAAATCATTTTTTTGGCATTTTGGCAAAGATTTAAAATTTTTTTAATAAAATCGACACCATAAATGAATATCTAAGTATAGTATATTATAACAGTTAACTCTTAAGCTAGCACGTACTTGCGAAACACATGACAGTAGGTAACCGATTTTCATCAAACCAGTGTTACCAAATATGCAAATGTGCATTATTTAATGTTAACATATTTTTGAAATACAGCTTTTCATCCTTTAAGGCTAATTATTGATTTTTACACATCATTCTTCCTTTAGGATACTATCCGCTAAAATCTGTGTAAGCCATCACATTATTTTCATAAGTCAAATCTCCGTCCTCAAATATTTTCCTTGGTCTTTAAGAAATAAGTCACATATATCTAGATATGGACTATAAGGAAGTTTATAAAAAACTTGAGCCTATGAATAGCCATTGTTCTTTGTTCTAGCAACAAAATTTCAATTTGTCAATTTAACAGAATGGGGGGGGGTTACCTCAGTAGGCTAATCTTCACCAGGAAAAATCTATACAGTAAATGAGTGTTTGATTTTTAGATCATCTTGAGAAAGTGTAGATTAATTACAGATTACTCAAGTTAAAAATCACTTTTGGCTAGCTTTAGAATCATATTTTTGCATCAGTCTGATTGAGACTATTTTTGTTTAACTATTAGATCATGAGAAGTACAGCAGTTACAAAGCTCCCTGGGAGCAAGGTCATGCAAAAAGATTTTTTTTTTATTTATTTAAAGCAGTGCCTTGTAGCTGGTATGATTTTTATTTTTGAAAGAGCATTATCTCTCATAAAATTGTTGTGTAAATTATGGATTAGGAAGGAGAAAATTCCACAAAGGCACTTAAGCATTCAAAAATACTTGTGTTCATTTCTTGAATGAATCCACTTTTAAAATCATTAAACGTCATGATATGAAAAAGCTCAGAATTGAACTCTTATTTTTTAAAAAAAAGCTAGACAAAAGGTTCTTGTTAAATCATGGATGGTAATACCTTCATTGTGCAGGGCAGTATATGTAATAATCCCTCAGCACAAAGTACAAAATATTGTATCTAGCAGGTATTTAAGTACAAAACTCTCATAATTTCTACTACCTCCCTGTGTTGCAAGAAAAGGGAGAAGTGATATGTTAAATTAATAATATGAAATTATTTTATGTTTGGAATGGGAAAATTCACCTCAAAATTCTAAGTATTTGAAAGAGCAATTAAATACTTAAAAATATGGTGAATTATACCCAAACTGAGAAATAATCATCTGAGGTATATACTGGTGTATGTTGCCTGGTGTTGCACTAAGCACCAAAAAAAGGGGGAGAAATGTTGTTCTGTATGTGTTCTGTTCTTGTAATTTGATTGACAAAATTTCAATTATATTTTTCAAATCTTGGAAGTGTGAATGTAACTTTAAATATACCATATTTCTTCATGTATTCCCCCCTCTAGCTTTTTAGCACTAGGTTCTCAAAATATAAAAAATATTCTCATAATTTTCCCACTTCTGTATTGTATATACAGTCAAATACTGAAAATCCGTCGACCTGAAATCTGCCAACTCCTGAAATCCATGTTGATTCTCAAAATATAAACATTTCAGTTTATAGGTTCTGGAAACCGCAACATTGAATACAAAATATCGAAGAAAAAATACTTACTGAATAATGACGTCATAATTACCGAATAATAATGAGTCATAACGGAAATACCAAATTATTGACATAAAAAAGTTTCAAAAAATGAGATAAAATAAATAAGATAGAAATTTTTTTCCCTCTAATCTGCATCGAGGGGGAAAAGTAGATGATTCACTCAACTCTTCGTTCAAGTTCACTACTGCTACTAAGAACATATAGTGAATTTGAGTTTCAGAAAGCATCGCCTCCTTATACTCTGTATCATGTGAAGAACTTCAGTAAAACAAAAAAGATGAAAGTTAAAAGTCAGGTGGCCGCCATCAGTCGACGAAAAAGGTGAGTGTCTGGTCGAAGGTCCAAATCAGTGAACTGAAGAATCTAGTATAAGTAAAAAATATTTAAGGATGCAGAATGTCAGATGGATATTTGTGCTTTCCTCTGGGAAATGGAGAACATCTAAAAGTGTCGATGCAGTTGTTAGGATAAGTGAGAACTGAATAGAAGAAATTTCTGGCAAGTTTTTGAATATAATCTTGAATTGTATATACTTTGAGATCATGGTGGATATACGAATTTGGAATGAACCATGGCACATTGACGATCTCTCTGAGTGCTTTGTTTTACAGTACAGATTTACAGTAAAGTACAGATCCTTGAGGCATTCTAGCGAAAATTTTTCTCGTGGAAGAAACAGAACTGCCAATTTTCACTGCAAAGATTCTGTCTTGGTAGGAAGTAATAAGTCTAATACAATGAAGTTTAACTTGATAAGCTTGTATATAAGTCTTCGGTGCCATATCCTATCAAAAGCTTTCGCTATATCAAGGAAAATGGCTCCGCTAGGGAACTTACAATTGAAATCGTCAGTAATATAGTTGATGACACAAAGCAGCTGGTGATTAGTACTGTGAAGATGATGGAAGCCAAACTGTTCTTCTGTGGAATAATTTGATTAAGATGATAAAAAATAACTTTTTCAGCTATTTTAGAAAGTTGACTGAGAAGGGTGATTGGGTGGTAATTCTGGGAAACGTTGAATTTTGATGCATTTTTTGGAAGATGACTATGATGGCATGTTTCCATATATTAGGAATGTAAAAGAATTTGATGATAGAGTTGATTATCTTAGTAAGACAAGTGATGGCATTGATAGGAAGATGTTTCAATGCTTTGGTAGAAATACCATCAACACCAGGAGCTTTTCTGGGTTTTAAGGAGCTAATATAATTGGCAACCAGCTTAGGCGTGGCAAGGAATGTAAAGTTCAAAGGGCCTGGGATATTTAGGAAGGTATTAACAGTATCATTAACTTTGGAGATATGACTGTCTTAGGGGGTAGTATTGGGAGTAAATGTTTCTTCTAGTGTATCTGCAAAGGTGTTAGCTTTATCTTCGTCTGAATAAATCATTCCGTTGGTACCATGAAGTGGCGGAATTTGCTTGAAGGGTTTCTTAGAGGTCACCAATTATTTTTTTAAAGCAGCTATCATGTTTTGTTATATCTTATATATATATCTGCAAAATTTTATATATATGCATGTATGTATATTTTGTAAGTAATGTTTTTTTTTTTTTTTTTTTCAGGGGCACTGTTAAGTTGTACCTGATTTATTTTTGATAGCTTCTTTTTAACACTAATTCAGAAGTCTGTACATGAAGCATTTAGCAACATTTTATAAGCTAGATTTATATAATGACAATAAATTGCATACTCTGGTAATAGTAATTAAATTTAGAGGAAAAGAATGGTTAAATTTCCTTGACTTTTTTTTTTTTTTTAATACTACTACAAATTTAGGTTTTTAGTAATACTGAGATAATTTTGGTTTGTGTGCGATTCGTTATTTTTAAATACTTTAGTTTTATAAATTTTTGGGAGAAAAAATCTGAATTGTAACGTATAAAAATCACAAGCAGTATTAAATTCTTTTTGAGTATATAAAATTAATTAAGTAAAGCGATCAATCGTATGGAACATTTATTTTATTTACATTTACTTTTGTTCTGGGGTCAGAATACAAACTGGTATCCAGTACTGCTTTTATCTTTTATTTATTTAATTTTATTTATATTTGATTTGCTATGAGCAGACATCATTCAAGAATGAAAATAAGGTTTTTGTAACTTTTTTTAGAATTATACTTTAACTGGGGCAAATAAATGGTAAGAAGTAGATATATAACCTCCTTTGTGCATAAAAGCGCAAAATAAGAATGGAGAAGTAAGAGTGCTGTGAAATCAAATCATAAAAATGTGCCTATTAAATGAATTATATCTACATAGATGCATGTATGTCCATTAGTTTTAATAAAATTGTTTTTAAGAGATCGAAGCCCAGAGCTTAGGGAAACACTGAGCATGTTGCTGTGTTTTTCTAAAGTTCTTTTAAAAATATTTTGCAGGTAAAATAAAAATGGGAAATGATTATCAGAAAGCTTCATCAAGTTCTCAAATATTAGATGATCGAAAGCAAAACGTAGTGTCAGAACTTACGAAAAATTCTTCATATTTTTATGGAGCTGAAGGTAATTAAAACTTTTTAGAATATTTCTTTTGTGATTTTAACATATTCTTCAAAAGAAGATAAGTGTTTTGTAACGTTAAAATAAAGAAATCCTCTTCTGGGCTTCACACCTTAATTATTTGCAGCACATGTTTTTGTAAATTCTTATTTAGCTACAGCTGCTATCAGCTGTAGCTAAATAACATGTTACGTCAGCTGATATCATCGTTATCTTCCTCAGATATCTAGTCACTAGGCTTGAAGGAGCTTCTAATAATTATGTCTCGCTCTAATATGTCAGATGTCTGTGAATCACTTTAGTCTAGTCTTCTTAGTCTTATCTTTTAGTGTTAAAATATGTCAGCCCATCTACTCATTTTTATAGCTTCTGAATAGTCTCTTAAATGATTTATTAATAGGGTATGTTACTTAATATCAGTTCTGCTGGGATGCTCAACTACGTTTTTCTTTGTGGGAATTTGTCTCATCCTCTAAAAGAAAAAACTTGCCTGAGATGCTTCAAAGGATAACTTCTATGTTGTGGGTTTTCTTTTCTTACTTGGTACTTTGTGGATAATCATATATCACCTGAGTATCCTTTCATCATTTTTTTTCTCTGAACACAGATATAAAATCTTTTGGATGTTAAGATTTTGGAACAGTTTTCCATTTTAAATTATGTAATTAATGGATTTCATTCAGCCATTATCGCGAGCGATACGATGCACTGATATCTCATCATTTCACATTAGGGCTTTCCCTCCTTCTCTCTCCTGTAGTAGTAGTTGTATTAGTTGACATATCAGAATATATTGTTGCTTGATCAGCATTACCAGCATAGAATCGTGAAAGCCCGTTGCTTTTCCTCATCCCAATTTTTATGTATGATGATAATTTTATTTAATTATTACTCGTAATTTTTTCATGAAAGTCCCTTAATATCCATTGACTTAACAATATTAATCCCTTCCTTTACATGAAATGACATAATCAATTTGCTTACTTCTAATGCCCTATTCATTTGTTAACACTTGTGAAGTATAATGTGTATTGAAAATTATTGACATTGTATTTCCAGAATTTAATTTATGTTCAAGTTATAGAAATATAGTAAAAAAGCTAATTCTTTAAATACTTTTGCTATAGTTGGCTTTTCTTAATAAATATTCCATTCTTTAGTGCCCACATGGAAAGGAGAAAAACATTATAAGAATCCTGCCATGGCAGCCAGTGTGAAAAGGAAATTATTTGATGTTTATGATGATGAGTTTGATAGAGGAAAGGTATGTAAAACCTAGCATTAGTCCAGTTTTTTTTAGTTCATTATGTATAATATCTGAAAGAAAAGATTTTATTCTTAATATTTATGTTACTTGAGATAATTAAGGGTTTGATATCACTGCAGAACTGCTAACTCTCCAGGGTTTCTTGATTTTTCATCTCATGCCCTGGTGTCTCAGTAAATATTAAAATCCCTTTCTCTTTTTTGTTAAATATATAGACTATCAAATTTAAATCATCTATTTTGAATTGCAGTTGTGGTGATTAGTGTTAATTCTTGGTGAAACTATAATCGCTATTGATGAACTTAAATGGTTGATAGTAGTATTGATCACAAAGTTTCTAAAGGAAAGAAAATGATTTAAAAAAAAAATAATAATAAGCAGTGACATTGTCATGTAATAATAAAATTTTAAATTGTTCAACTTCATGTTTTAGTGATTTTCCACAGAAGTTTTCTGATTGCTTTTCATTTGATCTGTTTTATTGTATAATAGAAATACATAAAACATTGTAAGAAGACATAATTAAATAATCAAATTGATTTCAAAAGTGATCAGACGCAAGTGTCTGTTCTTCAAGAAGATTCCCCATCATTTCCCCCTGCCTGTTTGAACACTCTTCCAGAAGGCAGTGCACCACAATTCTTCCTTCCTGCAGGCAAGTACAAGCAGATATTTCCACTTACAAATCAACTTTGTAAAAGTTAGGCCATGTAAGCAATAGTCATCTCCATGGTTTGACGTCTACTGCGACGAAAATGTCCGAGAAGCTGTGATGGTAGAAGCAACATGTGTTTAAGATAACAGGAACCATGTGCATCTGACATATTTTTTGATACTAACTCCTTAATTTTCCTTCCTGTGATGGCTGTTTTTCTCTTTTCTTTCTGTCCTAAGGCCTTTGGTCGTCACCCTTCCCTCTTGTACCCCTCTTGCTCATTGTTGGAGTGGTGGTAGCTAGGGCTGCTGACAGAGCATTACAGAGCATTTCCATTATTCCAGTGATATAAATGAAATTAAAATCTTGGAAGTCACTCTTCTTTAACTTCTGTCACTAAGCAATGCAGATGGCCCTGCGCTTTTGTCCCAAAATGGAGTTCTTGCCGATGTCTTGCTCTCGCATGCTCGGGTGATTGAGATGCCCACCATTCATTGCAGCATGGCCTTGTCTAGTTATCTTAGGAGGAAGACTCTGAAGATGGGAAAATGTGATTAGTGGAAAAAAATTATTGCATCATAAAATAGTATGGTGTCGTGCCTTTGTGTCATCTGCTGGCTGCATAAATGGTTAGTGTCAAAAGATATCTTTGGATATGAGGCCCTTTTTGTATTGTTGGATTTTCCACTCTTAGTATTGCCTTATACCTGCAGGGCTAGAACCATTCTGCTGCTCACTTTCCCAAGAAATTGATAGTAAATTTTTATCCTTGAATATTGAATAGATACTTTTCTGCAGTGGAAACTGCCATCACACATGTTGTATTAAAAGAGAAAAAAAGCTGATAGCCTGTCCATGGTTGAAAGGATTATGAAAGAGAGACTTTCATCACTGAGGGTGCGAATGTATATTGGGATGCAAATGTCTGTTCGTAAAGGCCCCAGCACTTTCGACATCGCAGATTATCTTTGATTCTATGTAATCGCCATCCATTTTGACACTTGCACACTTCAGCCTATTCTCTTTTACAGTATCAGAATTTTCTTTGCATTTGATCAAAGAACACAGTCAGCCTACTCTCTCTTACATCAATGTTACAAATTTTTTCCATTTTGAAAAAAGAGTGCATTACAATTGCAAATAGGGGAAGGTGGTCAGCTGCAGTAGGAGAGAGAAATCAATCTTGGTTAATATTCCCATGAATGGTATAGTAAGCTGCTTTCAAAGGATTTCCCAAGACTTCCATTTTGTGCACCATCTTCATGCATACAATCATTGTGTATGGCCATTGACATTTTTTTCTACCTTACCCGTGATTTGTTGGGAGGGGCATGAATTGATCTTTACATCAGATGGTGTGGATCGGAATGGAATTTTCACTCATGTTTTGTTTGTTTTTTGTTAGGTGACATGATTACATCGATATGCTTTACAATCATATTCCTGTGAGTCATAATTGATGATGCTTTAAGTGCCTTCCTTTTTTATATAATAGAAAAATCTCACTGGTGTATGCTATGAATGCCCTACTTCCTGGGTTATGAATTGCTTGTCAAATTGCCACATAAGCAGTCTTCCACAAGTTGCATATAAGCTGTCTGAGCTCATGTGGAAAAGCCAAAACATGACCACTGAGGTGTACATGCTCTCCCTATTTGCTTGTTTTCCCAGAAAGCGAATGACTCTGCCATGGCCATTCAACAGTATTGGAAAGCTAGACAGCTGGCATCCCTCCACAGAAGGAAAAAGGCTAGACATGTGCCTCATTTTCTGCATGGCTACATGGCAGCTGCTCCATTTCCATTCATTGGACGAACTTCATTGTACTAAGGAGTTTCTGGATCAAGAGATCTTATCTCTCTCTAAGACTCAGAATGTCTCATCCAATACAGGTATTTGACAGGATGTTTTCTTGTGGAAGCCATTACATGTATATCAATATATCGTATGCCAGGATCTAAAGGATACCGATGAATGGGCTTCTTGTCACTTACCATGTTTTTTTTCTGGTGGCTTCTTTTATGAAATGTTTGCTTTCCAGAAGTATTCGGCAACGTAAACTGGAGAACCCAGTATTGAGGCATATATAAACTGTTTGTGAGCAAAATGTTTGCTTTCCATTTTTTTGTACATGCTTGTGAAATGAGAAAAGAGGAATGACTTTTACAATCCATGAATGTGAATCAATTTCTCTTCTCTTGGTGTGTTACTGTGCTTTCCATTCAGCCTTTGTACGGAAGTCCACTAGATCATGGCTTTCTATAAAAAAAGAAAGAAGAGATAGTGAATGAAAAGGGATCACTCCAGATTATGCTTTGCAAAGGAAGGACTGTTTCTGGGAGGGCATTTGAATGAGGTGTGGGAGAGAAGAGGTGGATTTTAAAAATTGAAGTGAAGCAGGTGTTTCAATCATATCTTTTTTCTCATTCCCCTGCCAATCTTAGTGCGTGAGGGAGAGCAACCCTTCGCTTACCGTCATGGTGTATGCTCTGTTTGCTCACCCTTCACACCATTGGCATGAATATCCTGTAGTAAATATTTTTGAAAACAAAAGTTTTTTGTCCTTTTGTATCACCAAGCGAAGCTAAAATCTGAGATCTTTTCAGCACAGCTTCGTCTAATTGTCAATCTGGTGGTTTTTCTAAGTCGCATAGCCACATTGCAAAAACTTCTCAGTTTTCCAAATTTTAAAATTGGGTGCTATGAATTTTTTAGAGAGGTCTTCCAAATAAATTAATGTTTGTTGGTTTAACAGATATACTATAATTGTTTTGAATATAATATTATGACAGAAACTGTACATTGTGTATAGCATTTATAGTTATTTATCTTGAAATATGTCCAGATATGTATTGCAAGAAAAGAAATCAAGATGGGAGGGTCAATTTGGAATTACAATCAAAACAACACTTGCTGCTGGTTGTTTTGGTAACATTAGGATTTGGAGGCAAACCCTTGGCTCCTTGAAAGGTTAAAGAACTCCTAACAATTATAAAAATGAATTGTTTCAATTCATGAAACAATGCATAAATATCTGCTTATTTCAGTCATGAATCAATCTAATCTGCTTATTTCATCATGAATCAATCTAATACTGTGTGCAGAGATATCAGTTTAAGTTAAACTGTTCATTAAAAGTGTGCAATTTAAAAGATTTCTGTAAAAATAATGGTAAATTCTAAAAACCTTGATGTTTAATTTTTCATAAAACATATTGCATGTTTTTATGAGTTAAAATAATGTGCCAAATAACAATTATTGGAGGAGTTAAAGAAACAAGAATCAGCATAATATTCATAAATTTGTCGGATTAGTTCATTTTCACTTCTGTAGCTGAAGAAGAAGGTTCTATATTTAAACTTTCGAAACTAGTTCTGCAAATTTATGAATGTTATGCTTATTCTTGTTGCTTTAATTCCTCCTGTAATACTGCATGATATTAATTTTCACATGTAATTTTATCATGGAAATCTATTGTATTAACATTTTTAAATTTGTATACTTAGGTAAGAAAATTTAAACCGAAGGATAAATATCAGCATTATTACAAGCACAATCCCTTTCAAAAATATGCAGAAAGAAATCATGGCCATTTGAAATTCAATGTGAGTACTTAATTTAAATGAGCCACTAGTATTATGTTATGTTTTTTGTAATGAATATTGTTTAATTCATTAAAGCATTTTTGGTTAATTATAATTAAGCATTATAATAATTATTTCAAAAGTGAACATTTTATGTAGTTAATAAAGAGTGTTTTTTAAAAAAAATTCATGTACTCTTTACAAATTGTGTTCTTTAAGAGCATGAATTAGTTTTTATGAGTTAAAATAATGTTTATGAGTTAAAATAATGTTGTTGAGAACTCATTTATGGGAAAAAACTTAACGTTGCTGTCCACTGAAAGGCGAAAGTCTAACTTTTGCATTTCTTTTGTACCTAAGTTGAAACTGGATTATATAAAAATATTTATTTTTAAATATGAGTGATATATTAAACCAAAAAACTCAAAACTTAATTCAAATTGATTTTTGTGTATATTTAAAGAATATGTTTGTATATTAAAGCAGGCCACTCAGCACATTTTATATAAGTGAGAAACAAATGTGCATGCATTTTACATTAGAACAAGGTAAAATTTATAATTGTGCTGTTAATATGGAAAATAGCAGAAGCATTTCGAAATTGCAAACTATAATTTCAGCTACAGTCATTCTGATTTCTACTGTTGCGTTGTTTTTGAAAGTTTTACCAGTAAGGTACCCTACTAGTTGACCACAATAATAAAAATACTCATTTCTACCATAACATACTAGTATCAATAACCTGTTTTAATTGCGTTGTGTTTATTCCGGATTAACCGTAAAATCAATTTGAGAAATAAACTGGTGAAAGTCATGAGCACACAAATTCAATTTAACCATTGATTGATCTAGAAAAACTTATTTATTTAACTCTTATGGCAGTTATATATATATTACTTGGCAAATCAAAATATATTCCACAAATTTAGTACTATTGCTTTACACATCAAACTATTACTGAGTAATTATTCCTTAACATTATTCTTTATAATCTCTATTATTGTTACTTTGCAAATCTGGTAAAACATACCAAAAATAAACTATAAATTTATGAACAGTACCCTCCCCGGGGAGGAAAAAAAAATATAAATTTTAACAAGTTACACCTTCCACTTCACACAGAATAATCGGTACAGAAGAAATATTATTGCACTCAATATCATCAAACAAACAATAGTTATTGCACATAATAATTTGTATCATTTATTTTTTTTTCTTTTGATTAATAAAATATGGTTTAACCGGATGAAGTTAAATAGTTACACTATTACACTTCTACAAAAAAAAATTCGTCCTGAGAGGAGAAAAATGCTCTAATACAGGCACTATTACAAATCAATCCTCACCAAGAAGTAACTCAAACAAAAATTCAATTAAATAATTTCACGAAGAACTTATTTCTCTTAACTATTAAGTTAAGTTACAATAATTTTAATAAGGTTATAAATCTTTATTCAATCTAATGCTTTTACTTAATCGACACACAAAAGAAAAATGATTTCTATAGAGTTAGGTTAAATTTATCAACTACAAAAAAATTAAGGTTCAACAAATTAAATTACTTCAGTCCTTTTAACTGCAAAAAAAAATCTATTTCCTCAAATAGTTAAGCAAACAAAAAATAACTTAGCTTTTCATCCAGACAGACAGCTAGGACAACCATCCCGAACCAAATGGACGTCATTTTCTGATGAAGTCGCACTCCTCTTTATTACGAATCAAGCTATCGTGCAAACGGCAGTTCACCAAGCAAGATGAATTGTCCATACTGGTAGGCAAAGCAACGGTGAAAGCAGGAGACCATAATAACTTTGTTGAATTAGACTCGGAATAGGGTTGAGATGAATTTCCATCCTTTTGCATGGTAAAGGAAGCAATAAGGCAAGGTAAAGGAATCAATAAGGCATTAAATGTGGATCCAAGTTACTCTCTCTGGTTGCAGTGCGTTATGCAGATTCTTCACAACGGTTAACCCATGGTTGGAAGCGCTTGTTTACTTATTACAAAAAACATGAGTAGTACGATGAAAATGTAGCTAATATCGATGTTGGAAAAATTTTTGAAGTTTGCAGATCACTCATTTTTAAAGCTATTATCTATGCTGTCGGAATTCACTTGATAGAGATGCCGAAAATTTTCTCGGGCCGAATGCCACGAGAAACGGCTACTGGAGCCAACATCATTAGGGAAATTTCGAGAAGCAATGGCCTAACAATGGCCCTTCAGAAATTTTCATCTCGAACATGGTTCCAGAAACAAAATCAGCTGTCGGCTAGCTCCACTTCACGGCAAGTGAAAACAGTCAAAAACGTGTCAAAAGAGACCTCGTCCCACAAAACAGCCCGTTAAATGGGAGAGCGCCAGAACTCCAACTTGGCACAACTCACTCCTCGCCAACAGTTAAACCAGTTGCAACTACAGCATTCCTTCATGTTAGCAAACTCGCCAAAGCCACCACTTTGAAACCCTAACGGAAATTCTAAGTCGCCAAATAACCACGCCTAGTGAAGGGGGAAACTTGGAATTTCAACAACCCTGCAAGCCATCCCAACGAAGGAATGCTGTAAAACTCGAAAAAGCGACTATTTTACCGGAAAAGGGCACTTCTTCCCCCCAAAGGAGAAATCACAAAGAAAATGGAAAAAAACTATTAATTAAAGCTCATAACTAAAATGCAATTAAAGTTAGGAAAACGAAAGTTATGTCAAATTAAAGAGCTATATTTTCTGCAACTAATGATATTAAATACTAAGAAATCAAATTAATTTTTAACATGAAAAACTGAGTTTATTACATGAAAAATTCACCTATATCCATTGTCTGAGTGTACAAGATTGAAGATGCAGTTCGCATAAACTCAAATAGCAGAAATAGATTACACTAGAATTTATAAGCCAAATAAAAGAATTTAACCAAACTTGTTGTGTAGCTCAAATTTTGAATAATTACAAATTAAAATTTTGATTTTTATGAATCACTTAATTATATTAAATTCGCTACACAACACTACTATGATAGTCTTGAGGTTAATGTAAATCAGTAAATTTCATTCCATACAAGAGCCAGTTTCAAAATCATGTTGATACGGCAAGCCACTTGGCATGTTTCGTGTAGTCAAGTGTTCAGGAATATGCCATGGAATATGTTAAAACATTATCTGTTAAATATAAGTTTTTGTAATACTACTTTTGGAAATAGAATAACAATGACCAAGTGTATGATTATCCTTAAGTACGAATACATAATTTTTACTTCTTTGTATGTAGACGAGAAAGTAAAATTATAAAAACTGATTTAAAATGAATTCTAAAGAGAATTTTTCGTGGCGTGTGCGTGTACGTACGTATCTCGCATAACTAAAAAATGAAGAGCCCCAGAATGTTGAAAATTTGTATGTATGACTGCTATAACATGAGATGTGCACCTCGTATTTTGGTTGCAATTGGCCACACCAAAAGTATATAAATATATATATATATATATCCACTCTGTTACTCGGCTCAGTGAGCTCAGTTTCTTTTATTCTTATATGTTTGTAAATTGTGTATTCTTTGCTTTAAAAATGATTGAATTATGTTCTTATCTTCCGGATAATGTTTTGATGCCTTAGTAAATCTGCATGCAGTATTTGTGGAGTTATCAACAATTTAAAAGTTGTTTAAGTGCAGCTAAGCCTAATGAATTTTGCGATGGCGGACATGTTTGTTTACATTTTAAACTTGGCAAAATAGTGGATTTGTTTCCAATCTAGAGAAACTAAGCTTCGCAACAACAAAGATAACACCTTTTATTATTGCGAATTAAATCATGCTTAATCCATTCTGGAATTTATGCTAGGAAATAAGTGTTTCAGATTTACTTTGTAATTTTTAATATGGATGTTTTGAGTTTTTATGTATTTTTGCCTTGCTGGAAAGTGAGAACTGAATTAATTGAATGAGAAATACTGAATCGTCTGTGAAAAACTGTTTCTTTTTTTGTTTTGTTTGCTTAGTTTCTTTTATATATTTTTTATTTAGATTTATTATAATATTTGAATAGAACATGGGGCAACGATTAGGTAATTCTTCAAATTATATAAATTTATATGCATTGAGTTATAATATGCATGAAATGTAACGCTGTTAAGTGAACATAGCATCAGAGTGTCACTATAGTAAACAAATATAGTGAATTTTAAAGAGTGCATTTATTCTGTTTTGGTTTATGCACTATCGACGAAGTAGATTTAATTCAATAAGTTTAAATGAAGGCAAGAAAAAATACGTATAATTTAATATTCCGTGGAAGGAAGTCGTGGTGTACACATCATATTTTTTTTATTTATGAAAGAGATGTGTATGAGTGCAATTTTACTAGTATTAGTAATTGCATGCATGAAAATTTGTTTATCTGTTTTAGAAACCTTAATTGCTACAGATGTGTTATATAATAATATAAATTTGTATCTTTTTGATTTTAGGGTAAATTTCACCATGGTCAATCTCATTACTACAAAGGTTATGGTTCTCATAATAAGTGGAAACAGCATCAGAGGCAGGATTTCCAAAAGCACAAGAAATATTACAGACATAACTTCCAAAGATGAGAGAAAAAATGAAAATGCACTTCCATTGTTCAATAACAAATCACTGTGAATATGTTTTAAATAAATTTCCTCTGTAAGGTATATAATGGTAATTGTTTTGGTCTGTTGAGGTTTGCCTGCATTTAAATTAAACATGGAAATTTTCTTGCCCTGAGTCTTTCTATTTTGGCTGTCCAAATTTTGAGTATATATATTATAGTTAGTCAAGTAAACCTTTATCTTTGACCTGAAAACTCAAAAAAACGTTCAGAATTGAACTGTATATTTTTCAGTTTACTGAAATATTTTCTTATGGTGTTTATTCTAAATATTTGCTCAGAGTCAAATTTTAATACTTCATGCTGTATAGAACATTGAATAAAGGTTTCAGTAGTGTTAATTTAAACAACCTTAAAAGGCTGAACTGGAATATGATTACATTGCATCAGTATTTTATTCAAGCTAATTAATTTGTTTCAGTTAAGCTATGTTTTATGTGGTTGGATTTTATTGCTTATCTCTGGGAGACCTGAGTTATTAGGTCTGCAAGTTGGTATTGAAACATTCATAGATCTGTAAATATCACTATGCCAAAAAGTTTTGAAATTTTTTTTAATTGTTCAAGGCAGATTAATTTTAATGTTAAAGATAGTATATGTTATAATTTTAGTAATACAAAATTCTCTGCATCATTTATTTATCACTGTTAATATATATATATTTATTTATTACTGTATTTGTAAGTTAAATATTTTTAAAATGAAAAAGTTTCATTCAATGAGTTGTCTTTTTCACAAAATCATATTTTTGACTGTTAAAAACGGTGTATTTCTGAAATATTACCAGGGAATTCTGAAATAATGGGGGGGGGAGTATTTTAAAAACACAGTAATATTAGAAATTTTTAAACATGATTGTAAATCTGTGGTAAAATTTATTGTTTTAGAATGTTGTGAATATTAATCTAAGAATTGAAGATTATATGATTTTGAATCATTGAATGATTAGTGTAACTTTCATAACTGTACAGAATATTTAAAATAAATTAATGAGAATATATGTTCTTTATATGATCGATCAGCTGAAACAAATAAACTAACAAATCTGGAGTTTTAAAATTGGGAAATTTCTATATTATTCTTGAATGATTGATTAGAGTTTTTGGATTTAAATAATATATATTAATAGCCTAAATATATAGAAAAATTTAAATATCTCTCTGTAATATTTTAAGAAGTTTTTGACAGGAAACATATACTTAAATTCATACACTACTGACAATCATTGCTTTTATGTAAAAATAATAAACAGCAGATAAAAAAATTGATTTTTTAAAAAAAAGTTTGGCAGTATTTTAAATGGGTGATGCAACTTGACTTGTAGAGATAGGCTAACTTTGAATATGTGAAGTGTGGGATTTGCAAATGAAATAAATAATCATTGACAATTTTCATATAAAATGTCAGGAACTGAATATTTCTGTTGTTTTACAAACAGAAGATATTGTTTGACGTTTAACCTTTTTGAGTATGATTTCAGAGCCAATAACTCATCTAGAATATCCCTGTATTACTTACTGATTTTAATAACCCCATCTCTAACTCTTTGCTTTTGAAGGTCATTCTCGGTCACCTTATTGCATTACCTTGAGTGTCGATTGAGAGTTTTGTCTCGAGTTGGAAAGGATTAATTTACATTTCACTTTTTATTTATCCCCCTTCCTTATCAGAGGATCAAAGATTTCTTAGCTTAGGGTAAAAGGCATACCATTTTGTATCCAGTTGAAAAGTTGTTTATTTCTAAGTCAACATATGCTTATATCTTTATTTAATGAGCTCTTAAAATTGATTTTTTTTTTAATCAGACACTCTTAGCCTGTGAGCTGAAATGTAATTTGCATTGTAATGAGTTCTTAGGCTTTCAGGATTCGTAGGCTTTAGGATATGTTATATCATTTATTGCAGTTTGTTGCATTTTATTATTTAATGACAGTGTGAACATATTTTTAAAGATAAAATTTGTAATCATTCAGAATAGTAAATTGAACAGTTTTTTTTTTTTTTTTTTTTTTAAGAAATGATTCATTCATTATCTGTACCTTGAAAATAATTCCAAAAATGCATAAAATTATTTTCTTAGATATTATAAAATATATTTAGCATAGAAGTGCAAATTTTTCTCCTACTTTTTCTCTTATGATTTTATTTTATGCACAAGAAATATTTGGACTCTATTTAACAAGACCATTATGTTGCTGATTGTTATTCTTTGTGTAATTCCTGTATCAACAGTTTAAAGGAAGTTAAACAAATCATGTATTTCAGTTTGTATTTTTATTCATATATACGATTTTACCACAAATGTTAGCATTCAGAAGAATATTTTGTTATTATAGCATTGATGTCTTGAATTTTTTAGTAATATAAGTTTTTATGTAGTTTTTTTTTTTTTTTTTTTTTTTTTTTTTTTTTTTTTTTTGTTAATCAGTTATTTAAGTTGAAATATATTAAAACAATTGTCTGATATCATAAATATACATGGAAGTTAAGCTTTTTTTTTTTTTTTTAGGGTGGAGAGGTTTACAGTTTATCCAATGAAAAAAGTTTTTTATTTTCAAAATAGTGTTGCAGTTTTTTCCATCAATATGTACTGTGGCATTTGTTTGGCAGAGTTGATTTCTAAAGTGTACGACTAAAATGCATATAAGTGTTCTTTACATTTTATTTTGTCTATCTTGAATTCTTGCTATCGTTCTTCAGTTCATATTTATGTAGGTATACAGTAAAGAACTCTTTATTTTTTTTTTTATTTATTTATTTTTCTGGCGAGTTTTCTCGGTGTATTTCTGTCACTCTATTTCCTTTGATTTTTTGCTCTAATACAGAGTTTTCGACTGCAGCATACAGTTGCTGCAGTTGTGCACTAATTACTGTATTTATGTGGTGTAATATGTGAGGTAAACGAAATCAGTAACATGCCATGTTTGAAGTTTGGTGCAAGCATAAGTTTCCCCCCTCCCAGTTCAAGAGTTGTAAATGAAGTCATCATGAATAATGATCTTGTGTAATCACTTGTTAATCACTATTTATAACATACATAAGGCTGTAGACCTTCCCCCGAAGAAGTCCGCTGTTTCTTTTTAATTATTATGCTAAGAGAAAATTGATTATTTTATTGTGAAAAGCCAATAAGTTATGAATGGATGGTTATATGTTTTCAGTTGTGAATACTAAGCATTGTATGCTTATACACAATTGATGATTTTTCAGGAGATTTATTAGTATTTTATTTATTGTAATATTATCCAATTAGTTATGATGTAAGTTTGCTTTGCATTTTTTTGTTAATTTTATTTGTATGTAATTTTTTAATGAAAATTTGTGGTGGACATGTATATAAAATTTGTTGTCCATGTATATTTCTTATGTACTTAGCTATATATATTAGCTATAATGTAGGACCAACATGGTGTTCAATAGAAAGTTTCCATTAAAGTGTGAGTATGAAGGTATTAAAACTGATGCTTTCTTAACATACATAGTAAATGTTATGTGTGTTTATTCAGTAACAAGTAATATAAAATCTGTCATCTAAAGTGTGAAAATAATTTAATCAAATTTATGGAGTGTATTTATTCGTATTACATTGAAATCTGCCATCATTAAAAAAATATAATCAAAGATTTAAGACTTCCTATGAAGTTTCGACAATCTGCTGCTATGAAGCTCAACAACAAAATAAATAGTCTTGCTCATCATGTGTATAAATAATAAACCATCATAATGCTATGGTTAGTTAAAACAAGAAAATTAACCAAATAGTCACAGTCCAAATTTTCTTCAGTGGTCAGTCCCAGTGATAGTTTATGAGGACTGAAATTCTAGTTTTTTTAATTTACTAAAAAAATTTAAATGAATTAAACAAATAAAAAAATAAGGAGGAATTTTTTTTTTTTTTTCCTTTTTCTGAATTTCTGCTAAAATTGGGAATGGCTGATTTTCTTAGCCTGTTCATAGACATGCTCATTTATACAATAAGGTGTGTACGTAAGGGTCATGAAATATTGCGCTGGATTGTAAAATAATTCAGAAGCTTAATTATAAACTTCATTGTTAAAATATGTATTTAAAATGAAATCCCATTTTTACTAAATCATTTTAATTGCTTTTTTGCCATCAGTAAAATCTTTGTTTTCAGATTTGTTGAATAGGAAATCAATCATCAGATTTTAAAAAAGCTTTTAGTATTTGTTATGTTATAAGGGATATGACAGTATGAAGAGTTAAAAAAGTGCAACCCCCCCCAAGAAAATCTGAAGTTTGGATTCAAAACTCTTGGTGCTGTAAGTAGGACATATGAATTTCACACTTATATGCTTTGTTTAGACAACTCATTACTGTAGTTTGCATAAAATATTCTAATGGAGAATAGTCAGTTTTTAAGATAGCAATTTAAATTAATGCAATAACAGTTATTTAATGATATAAAAAATAAATTTATTGGCTTTAATATTCATGGAGGAATGTTTAAAATTTGAAATGAGCAAATGATTAAGTAGAAAAATATGAAAAAGACAAGGATTATGCCCCCATTTAATTGCCCATTTTTTATATTAATAAAAAAATTGATATTAAAGCATTTAAAAATTGATAGATTATGCCACATTTAATTATTTTTTTTATTCTGCCTGGTTGTTCTAAAAGATAGATTTCTTTTGGAGATTATCAGTAATAGATTTCAGTTAATTTAGTTAATTTTATATTTAGATCAATTTTCTGCATGATGGCTATTAATAAATATCTGTAACAGTGTATGAATAATAACATTAATTTTATTTGTTCATTTATTTTAGCGTGCTGATGATCCTTAGCTTTCAATTATCCATACTAGTTTGCAGTTAAAAAGAAAAAAAAAAAAAAAATATGGGGGAAAAAAAAACCCCTTAAGTTGCATAAGTCAATGATTATTCATTATATTAAATTTATTGCTAAAATATGACTAAATTTATTCTCATATGATGGATGCTCAGTAATTTTAGAGTATGGTCGAAATTGGGGGGGGGGGTTCTGTATGTTGTGAATATCTCCTGCATTTGCATGTGATACTTCAACTTTCATGTGCACATTTAAATCAGTATTTTGCTTAGTTAGGTATCATGTTCCTTATACTTTCAATAACAAAAAGAATATTTTTCAATTCATGTATATATCAGTTATAGGTACCTGATTGAGGAACATTTCTATTTTTATGCAGCAGAACTCTCATTTTTCCCAGTAAAACTGAGAGACTTATGATTTTTCTTATTGATGTAGTTATGAGCTTGTCTACCAGTATATTACAACATCTACGAGTTAATTTATCTAAATTTAGATTCATTTCTTACAAGTGCAGCTCTTAAAAACTTATCGAGACAATAGCATTTCATTTTATAAGAAAATTTAAATCTCTCTTCTGTTGAATTTTCAGCACAATTTTTCATATTAAACATAATTGATCTGAACTGCTTAAATCAGTTTACAGAAATCTGTATAGTTTATAAGTGTATATGTTTAATAGATTAAATATTTGTGTTCAGTCTTGCTTTAAGTCTATCAATGGTATATTAATTAAGTTTATATCCATGTTTATAATTAATTTTATTTTCATAGTCTTTAGCAATATTTTCTTCATTTGGGATTTCATTAGCAAAAAAGTTTTAAATTATAAATAGAATGAAATTAGCCAAAAGTAAGAGAAAAATTTTAATTAAAAAAGTAAGTATTAATGTATTTTGCATCAAAGTCACATTGTATTAAGTTAATCCAAATCATGCATTCATTGTGAGATGACTGAAGCTCAGATTTATCTATTTGAAGTTCTTTTAAAACTGTTACCTTGTAGTGTAAAAACTTCCCAATTTTCATATTTCAGGCTTCGTAGCTGATTTGAAATATTTTGATAATATTCTCATCCATTTTTTAATATAACGTAGATATATAATGCTTTCTAAAAAGAAATATGATCTTAATAATTGGGGTGATTTTAAATTTTCCAAAAAATCTCCACCGGGAGCGGAACTATGTACGAAAATTCTAAAAATATGCTCATTTTAAAATTATTTTGCAACATTGTTACTGAACTGAATTTTATGGTTTAAGTGCAAAAGAACATGATATTTAATAAATAAAGGTAACACGCAAAACTTTGAAAAAACGTCCCTTTGGACGTAATTTAAAATCTGCAACCTTTGATTTTTTTTAGGGTGGGGGCCTTGTGTGTGGATATTTTTTTTCAAATTGACAGAATCTTTGTTTTTGATAATAAATGGGATTTTTGTGTTGCAGTTATTTAGGTAAACCCATGCTTCATTGAGGGTCACAATGTATTTCCATTTATCTCCTAAATTGCTATTATATATGGTTCTACAACTTGTTCTGCGTTAAGCCACATACTTTGGCTGGTGAACATTATGTTTTTTACCTTTTTTAAGTTGTAAATCTTGATTAGCCTAAAGGTATTAAAATTTGCCCAGAAGGGCTATTAATTTTGTTTTGGCATTTTGCGTTGATTCCACTATAAACGCCTTGATCACTTTTTAAATTGTTACCACCAAATATTAGAGCCCTGTATTATATTTAAAGGAATTAAATAATGAAGAATCTGCATAAATGTATGTATGTTTCTCGCATTGTAATAAAACAACGGTACCTAGAGCCATCTAATTTTTGAGTAATGTATTTCTTTACCTGAATATGGGCATCCGGAAGTCCGAATTTGGAATTTGTTTTATTATCTGTTTCATATTTTGTAAAGCATTTATGAGCTTTTGGTTAAGAAACTTAATGATTTTTAAAGTGAGCTATGGCAACACTGTATGGAAAAAAATTATTTGTATCTTCGGCACGCGAGATTGTGTATCGGAAATTCTAAAGATGGGCTCTTTTAAATATTTTTGATATTGATGTTGAATTCAATTTTGTGGTTTAAGTGTGAAGAACGTGATATTTAATAAATAAAGGTTACATTAAAATAATGCCCACTTGAGCGTAATATAAAATCTGAACGCTTTCAGATTTTATATTATGCTGATAATAAAATCTGAAATAAAGTAATAATCTGAATAATAAAATCTGAAAGCTTTCAGATTTTTTTTACTTATTATTTTATTTATTATTGCTGTAGATGTATTTATTGATTTCTGCATAACTGGATTTTCTCTTATTATCAATTATTTAACTGTAGAAATAGAAACAATAAGTACCTTCTTCTTATATACATTTGGAATCTTCTATCCATGTAGAAATAATGACTGACAGTTTTCCCATTCTTTACACCTAGAAATATTAATGTCATGCATTTCACAACATTTTTGAATTATGGAATAAAAGAATTTCTCTTTGGAAAGCGCAAAAATATATCCTTTAATTCATCTTGTATACCTGCAATATTTTGAAAGAAGAATAAATTTTAAAGTAGCAGATGGTATTTCTCATTTCAAATAATAAGCTGTTGCCAGTAATTTTTATTCCAAAACATTTACTTTTTAAAAATTCTTTATGAAAATCATTCTAGAAATGTGTAAATGCCTTTTGTAGATGATTTCTGTCGATTCTAAATTCATTCTCTAAAATGACACATTTTACAAACTGAGACTGTAAACTTTTTATTGAGGCAACCACCAAAATATCTGATTCTGCTAGTATTAAAACATTTTATATATCGAACAGCTTGATTCTTCACATTGATGTAACCTATATAATAAGGTGTGGCCAAACTTCATTTAAGTATAAGTTACAGATAGAATTCAGAAGTTTAAACTGTATTTTATAAAAGCCAATGCTACACATATATATTTTATTAACATTAAGAAACATTTCTAGCAAACTAAAAAAGTATTTTTCATTTTAAAATTTAGTATCTCTGAATGTTTTTTAGATAGGAAACTAAGTAGTTATCTCTCTAAAGTAGTGATCTTACAGTAATATTAAATATTATACATGGAAATGAAAAGTAAGGCAGTAATTTGAAATGACATAACCATTCATTTTTCATTACTCAACTAATACTCGCATATTTTTTTTGGGGGGGGGAAGATAATAAAATAAAAAAAGTGTAACTGGTCAGTGCTTACTGTAGAAATTTACAAGAAATATTTCCATATGATGTCAGCTTACTGTAGCTCTTGTATAAAAAATAATTGTTTAGATTTTCATGTACAACTGATGTGAGAATCAAAAACACGGATTTTACTTAATCTTAAATGATTTAACGAATTTTAAAAGATAATGATTATCTTTATGTGGATTATAATTATCTGGATGAAAAGATAATGATTTTCTATGCAAACTACAACTACACATATTCCAGTGAAATTTCAAGGTATGCCATCCATAAGACAAATTCACAATATATAAGGGCGAGTCAAATGAAAGTGAGCCAACCCCTCCTCAGCAAGAATGGTTCGGTCCATCATCTGCGGCGCATGCACGTAGCACAGAGACAGCCTTCATTTATGAAAGTGGCGCGAAAGTGTGAGGTTAAAGTTCTTTAAAGCGCTCTTA